GGTGGCTGACCAGCTGATCGCCCAGAACCACTACGCCTCCAACTTGGTGGACGAGAAGCGCAAGCAGGTGCTCGAGCGCTGGCGCCACCTCAAGGACGGCCTGATCGAGAAGCGATCCCGTCTGGGCGACGAGCAGACGCTGCAGCAGTTCTCGCGCGACGCCGACGAGATCGAGAACTGGATCGCCGAGAAGCTGCAGCTGGCCACCGAGGAGAGCTACAAGGACCCGGCCAACATTCAGTCAAAGCACCAGAAGCACCAGGCCTTCGAGGCCGAGCTGGCAGCGAACGCTGACCGCATCCAGAGCGTGCTGGCCATGGGCGGCAACCTGATCGACAAGAAGCAGTGCAGCGGATCGGAGAACGCGGTGCAGAAGAGGCTGACGCAGATCGCCGATCAGTGGGAATACCTCACACACAAGACCACTGAAAAGTCGCTGAAGCTGAAGGAGGCCAACAAGCAGCGCACCTACATCGCTGCTGTCAAGGATTTGGACTTCTGGTTGGGCGAGGTCGAGAGTCTGTTGACCACTGAGGATTCTGGTAAGGATTTGGCCTCTGTCCAAAACCTCATGAAGAAGCATCAGTTGGTCGAGGCGGATATCGTGGCGCACGAAGACCGCATCAAGGACATGAACAACCAGGCCGATTCCTTGGTGGAGAGCGGCCAGTTTGACACTGCCGGTATCCAGGAGAAGCGCCAGAGCATCAACGAGCGCTACGAGCGCATCTGCAACCTGGCGGCCCACCGTCAGGCCCGTCTCAACGAGGCCCTCACCCTGCACCAGTTCTTCCGCGACATTGCCGACGAGGAGAGCTGGATCAAGGAGAAGAAGCTGCTGGTGGGCTCCGATGACTACGGTCGCGATCTGACCGGTGTCCAGAACCTCAAGAAGAAGCACAAGCGCTTGGAGGCCGAGCTGGCCTCGCATGAGCCAGCCATTCAGGCCGTCCAGGAGGCCGGAGAGAAGCTGATGGACGTGTCCAACCTCGGCGTGCCGGAGATCGAGCAGCGCCTGAAGGCCCTCAACCAGGCCTGGGCCGAGCTGAAGAACCTGGCCGCCACGCGTGGCCAGAAGCTGGATGAGTCGTTGACCTACCAGCAGTTCCTTGCCCAGGTGGAGGAGGAGGAGGCCTGGATCACCGAGAAGCAGCAGCTGCTGTCCGTCGAGGACTACGGTGACTCGATGGCCGGCGTCCAGGGCCTGCTGAAGAAGCACGACGCTTTCGAGACGGACTTTACTGCCCACAAGGACCGCTGCTCCCTGATTTGCGACCAGGGCAGCGAGTTGGTGGAGGCCAAGAACCACCATGGCGACTCCATTGCCCAGCGCTGCCAGCAGCTGCGCCACAAGCTGGACAACCTGTCCGCCCTGGCTGCCCGCCGCAAGGGAGCTCTGCTGGACAACTCGGCCTATCTGCAGTTCATGTGGAAGGCCGACGTGGTCGAGAGCTGGATTGACGACAAGGAGAACTACGTGCGCTCCGACGAATTCGGGCGTGATCTGTCCACCGTGCAGACGCTGTTGACCAAGCAGGAGACATTTGATGCAGGTAGGATTACCACTGGTCTTGTTTATTATAACATATTTAATAACATATTTTGTTGTTTGATCAGGTCTCAACGCCTTCGAGCAGGAGGGCATCCACAACATTACGGCACTGAAGGACCAACTAATTAACGCCAGCCATGCCCAGTCGCCGGCGATCCTGAAGCGTCACGGAGACGTGATCGCCAGGTGGCAGAAGCTGCGCGACGCCTCCGATACGCGCAAGCAGCGACTGTTGGCCATGCAGGAGCAGTTCCGCCAGATCGAGGAACTCTACTTGACATTTGCCAAGAAAGCTTCGGCCTTCAATTCTTGGTTCGAAAATGCCGAGGAGGATCTCACAGATCCTGTTCGCTGCAATTCGATCGAAGAAATCCGCGCCCTGCGCGACGCCCATGCCCAATTCCAGGCATCTCTCTCGTCGGCCGAAGCTGACTTCAAGGCATTGGCAGCACTCGACCAGAAGATCAAGAGCTTTAATGTTGGACCCAACCCATACACGTGGTTCACCATGGAAGCTCTTGAGGAGACCTGGCGTAACCTGCAAAAGATCATAGAGGAACGCGATGGGGAACTTGCCAAGGAGGCTAAGCGCCAGGAGGAGAACGACAAGCTGCGCAAGGAGTTCGCCAAGCACGCCAATCTCTTCCACCAGTGGCTCACAGAGACAAGGTGAGTGGGAACTCAGGGACTTGCCGTTGGCAGGAGGGGGTTACTTAATCCAAACGTGTGTTGGTTTCATTGGATCCATTGAATCCATGTACCCATCCCAGCCCACACAAATCCGAAAACAAGTCTTGTGGTCTCGACGACTCTCTGTCACTCCATAAACGATAAAACGTAACTGAAAGATCCATTCTATTTTCTAGATATTATATGCTGGGTTATAACCGTCAAGGGTAATTAAGCGAGCAGGCCTCAAATCTGCGTTTGAAATCTTATTTTCTGTTGTGATCTTTTTTCGTTCCTTAACTCGCGTTGGAGCCGAGCTCCCAATCACGCTGCGCCTCCACTAACCCGTGGGAGTAACTCGATTCTCCGTAACTCTTGCTTTTGCGCCTCGCGCTGAGGCTAAGGGCTTGTTGTAAATACTCGTATATATCCACACTGATACTGATACTGATACCGATAAGATCGAGCAACGACTAAGGCGTAGTTTTAGTTAGTTGCATTAGCGAGAGCACCGACCCACCCGATCAGAGTGTATATCTACAACGTGGCCTTCTGATTCTCCATTATTCTTTTGGTCTCACCTCAAAACTTATTCAAAATTAACGAAACTAAACTCTAGCATGCGATTCGAGAGCAAAATACTGCTGTAGCATACAGAAATATGTAGAAATCGAGCAATTTAAATTACTTTCATGTTTCTTCTGTTTAATCGAAGAGTTACCAAAATCTAGTAGCTTTTTCCAATTTGAACGTTCCTTTGGCGCTATTCTTATTTTTAATCGCTTCTAGCAGTTAGACAACTTTCGTCTTTATTAGTTGCTGAACTCAAAGAACAACCAACCAATCTTAACTACACTAAACCCCGATCCAGATCTAAACACTCGCGCCCCGCCAAATTCCCAAAAACACCTGTAAATATTACAAAATAAAATCGATGGGAAGTCAAACTAGTTGCAAGCCCGAATTCCAGAAAATAAATTTCGCTGCCCGTAACAGACCTTTAACAAGATTTGCTTTTCTTATGCATTATATCATTGTAACGTTCCGATTTGTTTGAGACCTAATTCGATATTGTGCCCTACTAACGAACGCTTTATTGTCTGGCAATTTTCAACACCGCCAATACACATCGCAATCCCACAGAACGTCCATGATGGAAGGCTCCGGTTCCCTGGAACAGCAACTGGAGGCGCTTCGCGTCAAGGCCACCGAGGTGCGCGCCCGCCGAGTCGACCTTAAGAAGATCGAAGAGCTGGGCGCCCTGCTGGAGGAGCACCTGATCCTGGACAATCGCTACACGGAGCATTCGACAGTGGGCCTGGCCCAGCAATGGGATCAGCTCGACCAGCTCTCCATGCGCATGCAGCACAATTTGGAGCAGCAGATCCAAGCACGCAACCACTCTGGCGTCTCCGAGGACTCGCTCAAGGAGTTCTCGATGATGTTCAAGCACTTTGACAAGGACAAGAGCGGCAAGCTCAACCACCAGGAGTTCAAGTCCTGCCTGCGCGCCCTCGGCTACGACCTGCCCATGGTGGAAGAGGGCCAACCCGACCCAGAGTTCGAGGCGATCCTCGATGTGGTCGACCCGAACCGCGACGGTAACGTCTCCCTGCAGGAATACATCGCGTTTATGATCTCCAAGGAGACGGAGAACGTCCAGTCCTACGAAGAGATCGAGAACGCCTTCCGCGCAATCACCGCCGCCGACCGCCCCTACGTTACCAAGGAAGAGCTCTACTGCGTAAGTTTAAATTACAACTTCACATTGCGCAAACCATTGCTAAGCCTTGCATATTCCACCACAGAATCTCACCAAGGACATGGCGGACTACTGCGTGCAGCGCATGAAGCCCTACTCGGAACCGCGCTCTGGCCAGCCCATCAAGGATGCCCTGGACTACATAGACTTCACGCGAACGCTTTTCCAGAACTAAAAAGCCTGCCCGGTCTTGTTAAATGGCGCCTGAGCATATGTCTTACAATTTAAAGTATATTTCTAAAAACAAACAAAACCACAAAAAAAAAGTGAAACAAAAATATATATTTACACCATTATTTTCGATAATTTAGTCTAAGTCAAACAGTTTAATGCTTATTTAAGAACCTATGCCACAATGAACCTAAAATCAACAATAGCACCTTGCAATACATATTTATCAACACGACTATGAACCATTGTAGTTTTTGCATTTATTTAACAACATCCGATGAAAGTATCTTAAATTTGGACGTTTCAGTTTAAGGATTGGCACACGCGTCAGGTAGCCGAAGACGATATTGAATGGAGGATAAATTAAAAGTAATCTGAAAAATACTTGCTACTAGCTTCCAGTAATCGAGCAAATCACATTTTCAATATTAAATGTCTGCAACTTGTACCGAGCATATATACAATTGAAATATCAAACAGTTTAAGATACTCTTGCTACCCAAAAATAAATAATATCCAGCCTTTGTGTTTTCTCCAGTTTCTACGTGTATTCGAAACGAAAGTAGTAAACTTTTTCTAAGCGAAAAAAAAATAAAAGCAAAACAATAAATATTTGCCTCTATATTGAACGTATATTTACAATTCATGAATTGCAAAAATAAATATATTGCTGCATGTCAAAAAATGTTAAAGCTGTGAAGTGTTTTTGTATCGGGAATTGGATAAGCAGCTAAGCCCACAGTAAGTAGCCTCGAAAATTTCTGAATTTTTATTTTGCTATGTTTAAAAAACTATAAACCATCAACTTTGTTTTTTTTTCCATTTACCCGTTATTAACCATTGAACTTTTCTGGTCATAAAGAATATTTATTTGTTAGATAAGAAAACAAAATAAAACAATTAAAATTACAACAAGAATTTGTTAACGCTTTCCGCATAGGCGACGTTCTTCAGCTTTCCGTTAAGCGCCTCCTTAGGCAGCCACTCGAACTTGGCTGCCTTTTCTGCCACCTGACCAGATCGCAAAGACGCCCTGTAGAAGAACACCTTCGCTCCGACGCTTTCCGTCCGCTGGTTGCTGGGGTACTTGTACTTGTGGAAGCCGACGGGAGCGTTGCCGTAGAAAAGTACCCGCAGCTCCTGGCCGCACTGCTCCCTAAGCACGCGCTCTGCCGTCTGGCGCATTGATTCGCCCTCCTCCCGCTTGCCCTGGGGTAAGATCAGGTGTTCCTGCTGGCCGAGCTTCTGCTGAACGAGAAGATAGAGCGTGTCCTCCAGGCAGCGATCTGTAGAGCTGGTTTTGTTGGCCTTGTCATCCGGGGTGGTACGGTCTCCAAATTGGAATTTCTTTAGCTCCTCGATGTAGTTATCCTTGAGATCCTGCGCAGTTTGCTTTGAGCCACTGTCCTCCAGGTCCACCTGCACTTTGCCCTGCTTGATCAGCTCCGCCTGGACGATTTCTCGTTCGTGCTTCACCTCGTGGTCAGACTTTAGGCTGTTTTCGTACTCCACGCGCCACAACACATCCTGGAACTTTTTCTCGAGAGGACTTAGCGTCTTTGAAACCACAGGCAGGCGCTCCACTAGAATTCCGGCGTATAGATCCCACTTTTCCGTGGCGGCAGCCGTCGATTGGGTTCGGCACAGTTCCCGGCCACCGATTTGCACAAAGCGACGCAGCATTTTATGAAATTTAATTAAAATTTTAGGGAAAATAGAAAATTCTGCACCGATTACATGAGCACAAGAGGCCGAACAGCTGTGCTGCGTATGAGTTATCGTTATCGGAGAGCGCGTCGCGAAGGTTCCCACAATTTGTATTTGTTTTTTCTCCTCTGACTGAACAACGAAAACTTTACAAAATGTCCGGGTTGGAGTCGTATATTAACCACACAGTGTCCATCATCACTGCGGACGGACGGAACTTCATCGGCACACTCAAGGGATTCGACCAGACCATCAACATTATCATCGACGAGTGCCATGAGCGCGTCTTCTCCACGACTTCTGGAATCGAGCAGATTGTCCTGGGACTTCACATCATTCGCGGGGACAACATCGCCGTCATTGGACTGATAGACGACACCATCGATTCCCGCCTGGATCTTGCGAACATTCGGGGAGAACCTCTAGGGCCAGTGGTGCACTAGGATAGCAAATAAAACCAGTGATTTTCAAAATTAAACGTGTTTATTATGTATATTAACTTAATCTATCATTCTGCATCCACGCTGAAGTTAATCTGGTGGCAGTCAAGCGTGTCCAGATCCACCACGGCCACACTTTGCGTCTTGCTGAAGCTGGGTACGCACACCAGGCGCGTTTTTTTGCCCTGGGAGCCCTCATGCAGTGCGGTCTCAAAGGACTCGCAGTTGCCGGCGAAATACACGTGCGGACACTCGCGCATGATGAATGGGTCGCTGTCGATGTACGGGTAGCAGGCTAGCGTATCCGGAGCAGTGGGTGCAATGTGGCCCCAGGTGAGGGTACATCGCAGGGCCTGCAAAGAGGAATCCAGCGAAGTGCTGCGCAGCAAATCAGAGACATTCTGGCCGGAGCTGCCTATCACCAGGGTCTCGTCCAATTGGCAGCAGTACGGATTGGTCACCGCCTGAAAGGAAGCCAGTTGAGCGGCCTCCGGGAACATGCACTTGTGAAACGGCTGCTGGGGCAGCATAAAGTTGGCCGGATCGTAGGCACCCGGCATTAAATCCACCGGTAGACAACGTGCCCACGAGGCAAACCACTGATCCAACTGGGTTATGGCCTGGACGGTATCGTTGGCATTCGCCTGCGTGCGGGCCACCTGGAGCGTGGGAACATGGGCCACGGCACTGGCCCTCACTGAGTTTCCGGCCACAATGAGCCGCACCATAGAGCCGGCTTCTTTGCCATTCCCCAGATTACCAGCCAGCCAGTACTGGAAAAGATTCAGGGCATCCGCAAAGTTGTGGGCCTGTAGTTGGTCCAATCCAGAGGCCAGTACCAGCAGGCGACTAATCTTTCTTGTGGCCAGTGGCTTTTGGGGCCCACTTTCGTAAAAGAGAATGTCCTCCACGTTGAAGAACCCCTCGCTGTCGGTTCCACCAAGGGCGGCGCACACAACACCGGTGGCCATGAGCTCACTCTTTACCTCGCCCTGCAAGCGCACCCGCTGCAGCTCATCCTCCAGCACAATCTTGTCATCAGGCTCCGAGTAGTTTTGGCGCGGTGGCTGCGGCGCCAATTGGTTCTCCTCGGAGATGTCCCGCAGAATGCTCGGCTTGTGCGCCTGGTGCTTGTAGATGGTGCCGATAAGGATGCAGTGTACGTCCTGTTCTCCGCGTAGTTCGCACAGTTTCTTTATAGGCTCTTTGTTACCCCACTTTTTTTGGGCCAGTGGCGTCAGCAGACGGGTCATCTCGGCCAGGCGGTGGGCATAAAGGTGGCAGAACTGCTTTTGGTAGTCGTGTCCCTTGAGCCGGAAGTGGCTACTTAGGTTATCGTACTTTGTCTCGAGGCGGCTAGTCATTTTTCAGGTGATATTTATCCGTAAAAACGCAGTAACCTTTTAAGACGCTCTTCTATTTTTACGCGCCAATTTGTACAGTAAAAGATGACTAAGGAAAACATAAAAGTGTTTCACAAGGGAAAGAAATGTATCCTTACTTACCAATTAGGTTGGTTTTCGTTATGATACGAATATTTATTTTTAAGCTATAGATTAAAATTGATAATTATTTGGATAAACACTTAAAAATAATAGCTGACACTGTTTTCATAACGGTGAAAAACTAACTTATATGTACATACATTGTATTTGTTTTGGTTTTTTCTAAGGAAATGTATTTTTTTTACTATATTAAAAACAAAAATTAACTTAAATGCAACAGTGCTTAAAAACAATTTAAGTGTCGCTTAGCGCTTGCAATTATTTCACAACGCGTGAAATTGAACAATGGTTTCTATGCTGGTTATTGCTGGGAAGTCATCTTGGCAGTCAGAATTCAACAGCATGCAGCAAGGTCATTTGTTTTGTGCAAACTCTGATAGTTATGATGGCAAACCTGAAACTAAATTAATAAATCAATAAAACATTAATTTTATAATTTATTAAGGGTTCGTGCATGCTAAAACCCACTGTACCCCTCAAGGCTTATCGATGTCCGATAACTCCACACACCTTGTTACAGCTGTTATACACATATCGAAAAAAAGAAGGGCAAAGCTGCGGAGCACAGGAGAAAAGTTTTTGTGATTTAAAATAAAATTCATTTTGAACGTCCGGATGCGATGCATTTAAAGTGTAAACGCACCACGGGGATGTGGGAAACTGCCACAAGCGCCACCGTAGCAGCCTCTCGCCTCTCATCCGTCGCCAAGTGGTGATCTGGGCAAATGTTTCAGGGCTCTTATTGATTTTTACGGTTTTTGGACTGATACGCATTTCTCTGTTTACCGATCTTCCCGGAAACTGCGTCGCAGAAGGAGGGACTAGCATGCCAGTGCGGTGTTAGCCAGAGCGGAAGGGTTCCAGCCAGAAAAGTCATGGGTGGCTCCGTGAGCCAGGTTTTCCGCTCCGGATCTGCGCTCCTCTCCCATCGCGATGGCAAGCTGTCCAAGGCCACCGAGGAAACTATTCAGACGCTATTTGACATCCTGCGCGCCAACCCGAAGGTGTCACTGCAAACGCTTGAGAGCCTGCTCATCCAAATACCTAAAAATGAAAACATCCTGGCCATGCATGACGACTACGGCTACAACATCCTGCAGCGCAGCGTTGGCCTCAACCACATTGATCTCACTAAATGGCTGCTGCACCGCCATCGCCCGGATGTTAACCGCTCACCCTGTTCCCTTCCCCTGCATATCGCCACCCTACGTGGCTACGAGGAGTGCGTCGAGCTACTTCTACGCCACGGCGCCCGCATCGACGTGGACACGAGGATGTGCTTTCCCGGTGCTCATACACGCAATTGCGAGGAGAGTGGCAAGTGGCATAACAACGTGGACGATGTCAGCGAGCGGCTAAACACCAAGCTGCAAAACGCACTTTACTACGCCATCGACGGGGATCAATACAATGTGCTGAGTCTGCTCACGCAGAAAATGGAGGAGCCGTGGATCCCTTTCCGGGTGAAGAAGCCACTGCTGCACCTGGCCTGCGAGCGCGGGGCGTGGAATTGTGTCCAGCAGCTGGTTGTCACGCGTTCGGAGGAAATTAATCTTATCATGGACGAGTATTACCCCATTCATCATGCCGTGCTTCATGATGGACGCTTTCTCGAGCTACTTATACATCAGGGTGCCATAACAACTGTCCGAACTTGCACACAACAAATGACCCTGTTGCATGTTGGTGAGTCCCGACTGCCTTAGATGAAAGAATAAAAACTCATATACTAACATGGTACCCTTTTAGTTATCTTTGCAGCTCGGAAGTCGGCAGACGATACACTGGCTACTCTGCGCATACTCCTGGAACGCGGCTGCAAGGAACTAATCAACGCCCCCCGACTCACTCGGAAACACACCCCTGCACGCCCTCATTGTACGCTACGCTCTGGAGGAGGCGCGTTATGGTTACGACAAGTGGAGCAAGTGGGATGTCCTGCACCTGGTGCGGTTTCTGCTGCAAAACGGGGCCAAGCAGTCGATCAACCAGGCAGGGAATAGTGCAATGGCCTGCGTGTTTCGTCACTTGCGAGACTGGGAGGTCTGCTACGAGCTGCTCAACATGCTCATCAAGGAGAATGGTGACCCCAACATCGTGGGGAGGGATGGATCTGTGCCCATTATGGTTCTACTAGTTCCATTAATAAATAAGGATCACCTGCATCATTTCACACACTCTATGAAGGTCTGAATCTTTACTTTACTTGTATCCCGGAACTAATTCGTCTTTTTAGGTCTGCTATCTGAACTGCATCCGCATGCTGCTGCAGCACGGTGCCAATCCAAACTGCTCCTACCGCGCCAATCTAAAGCCGCTGCACGTGCTCGTGTTCACGGTCAGCGAGAACTTTACGCTTAACTGCGACGCCCAGAAGCGCACAAACTTTGACTTCATCAAGAACATCCTTTTAATGCTGCTTCAACACGGCCTGGACTGCAACAAGACATATCAGCACATTCTGCAGGCGGTGATGGACATGGTGCATAATGTGCGCACCTGCCACGACATGGAGTGCGTTTACGAGCTGACGTTGACGCTAATCCAGTACGGTGCCGATCCGAACATCGTGCTCAGCGGCAAGTCAACGCCGGGCACAGCCATCTTCTCCAACGAGCTGGCCACTTTTCGCAGCTCGTTCCGCACCAACTCGTGCCACCTGCTGTTTTACTACATCATCCTGATCACGAAGAAGGAGTTCATCCTCAACGATCCGCAAGCGACGTACACGCGTGTCATACATCTATTCTACTTGACCATGCAGCACGAGCCGCTCTTCAATTGTCTCAAGTCGCTGCACAACTTCTACGTAGCCCAGGTGCCCAGCAAGAAGACGGAGCAGTTGATTGCCCTGATCTCGACGCTCTATCGTAGACCGCGCAGTCTGAAGCAGCTGTCACGTTGGGCCATCTACGAAGCGATGAACCGCAAGCTGGCCCAAAACATTAACCGCCTGAACCTGCCCGGCCCGCTTAAGGACTACGTGCTCCAGTTCGAGAGGTAGCGACCCAAGGACCAATGAATACCAACCGCAGCGAACTAGAGTCAATCACTATTGTTGCCCCTAGGCTATGTAATCTTTAATATGCATATTCGCCTACACCAGTAGGTATGTAGTTACGCAATAATTACGAACTATCAGGCCTGTTCTGGGTTGCTCTATCATAGCTTAAAGATTACTGAATTGTTTGATAACAAAAATTTTAAGATTTATATGGATTTTTTCGTTAATCACTATTGGATCGCTGAATTTGGCATGATTAAGGATCAACAAAGATTTGTTTGAACTGGAACAGGTCCGCATATGATATGGAAACGCTTAAACGTACCTAGACATAACCATAAAAACACTAAAGGAGCCAATTTAAATATTGTCAAATCAAACACGTGCAATTTCTTTGATACGAATCTATTGAAACTATTGTGAAGTTGGAAAGCTCATCTATGTTTTGTAATTCAATACGTACAACTTTGTGAACTGTAATGCGCTTAACACTATACAAGCACTTCCAACCCCCGCACCATCCGCCCCTCATTTAACCTTGCCCTTCCCACTCTCAAGTCCATCATGCTGCATAAGTTATAGGTCATAAACTTAAGGCTGTTTTTTGAAGAACATTTCGGGAGTTTTAGAATTTTGTATATTCGAACGCAATCGAAGGAGCGAGACGTTATGTAATTATTATTGTAACTATTATTATTGTTGCTAAACCGTTGTTAATCTCTGTATCTATAATGTCATTTTAAATCGAATTGATAACGCTATCGATCAATAAATACAAACATGAACTTTCACACCCAGTCGTTCTCTCCTCCGAGTCCTCCAAGGTCATCGAACCGGTAAGTTCAGGAAACCTTCGCCCCGGAAACAAACAAAACAAACACAACAAGTCGCCTTAGCAACAATAACAATTGGAGAATCGAGAAGAAAAAGAAATCCCTGCAGTCGAAGCTCGAGACCAACGAAGGCTCCACCATGTACAGCAAGAAGCTGGAGCGGATGCACCGCCCGGCCTCGGACATCACCAAGTACGACAACGAGCCGTACATGAAGAACCCGCTGCTCAAGTTCCGGATAAGCGAGGTGCACGAGCGGCGGCACTTTCAGTTCCTCAAGCAGAAGGCGGCGGACGTCAAGGTGCGCGTGGCCCGCCAGAAATGGCAGCCGGAACCGGACATGCGTCTCCTGCCCCAGTCGCACTACGAGGACAACCTGCGACGCGAGGTGCGCAAGATCGTTGTGCCGCCGATGCTGCGCCGCACCGAGGCCAAGATCCTCAGTTTCGCCTCGGAGCGGCTGAAGAACAAGTACCCGGAGCTGGTGCAGGCCTACATGCAGGATGTGCACCAGGAGTTTAACCGCCTGATGAAGGTGTACAGCATGAAGAACATCCTGCGCCATCCTGAGTTCTCCGACGAGGATCCCTCGCAGTTCGAGCTGCCCCGTCCTGACATCAGCTTCCGGCGAGCTGGCCGTACTCAGAATTACAGCAACTTCCTGGAGAACCGGCGACGCATCGCCCAGAGGCTGCTGATCCTACAGCTGCCGTTGCGCGCCATTCTCAACATATCCGTCGGGGAGCTGCCCAACCTGGCCTGCGTCTTCCACTATGTGATGGCCACCGGAGCCATGCAGCAGCAGCTGGGTCTGGGCGGCCGGGAAGCATTGTCCCACAAGTTCTACCGCAAGTACATTCAGAACCAGCTGGACAAGGTGAACACCTTTCTGCGGTGGACCTGGTACCCCAAGGTGGTGCTGGTGCTGCGCAAGCTGATGCGCAAGCGTGTCATGCCGATGAGCACCTGGAAGCGGGCCTGGAACGCCCTGGAGGGTCTGATGAACCGCGAGATGACCAACATGAAGATCCGCACCTTCGAGGAAATGTACCGCATGTGCAGCCACCCGCGAACGATGCCCATGCTGCGCATGTCCCTCGAGTGGGCCGAGTTCTCCAGCGACCTGGACACGCGTCCCAACGTGTGGGCCATCCTGCGCACCTTCGCCGAGATCGCCACCGAAATATCGATGGTGGGCTACCGCATGGAGCCACTGCAGCCGCAGGTCCAGACGCTCACCTCGATGGCTATGTACGCGAAGGTGAACGACTACCTCAAGATCGAAATGAACGAGAACTTCCTGAAGGATGTGATTGATAAGGTGCGTACAAGGTGTGAACTATAATTGTAATTGTATTAGTTAAATGATAACTTAAATAAGTTATAATAAAATGAAATAGATTAACTGTAATATTATAAATGTTACTGACAGGTTCAGGACATTATCCTGCGCACGTACCAGGAGGTGATCCAGTACATCGAAGGCTTTCGGGAGAAGTATTATGCTCTGTACTCCTGGCAGGAACGGGACGCCCTGAATCAGTTTCTGTCCGAGCCGCACGAGTTCGAGGAGTACTTCGCCCGGATCGACATGTACTACGGCTTCATCCAGATGCTGCGAAGCGAGCCGGGAACCGAATACTTCGTAATGGCCGTGATCCACAACGAACCAGCCGTAATTGGACTTCGAACCCTGGCTGAAAACCTGATTCAGGAGATCACCACGATCATCATTCGGGAGCACATCAAGGCGGAGGTGGAGATCTGCGATGAGTTCGAGAAGATCAAGTACCGAGCTTTGGAGATCCCAAAGTCGACGGAGGAGCTCTTAGAGAGTGCTGAATACATGATCTACGTGAAGAAGGAGAAAATAGCAGAGTTGACCGACCGTATTCAGTATTGCCTGCAAGTCGGAACCAACATAGTGGAACTGACCGAGATGTCCAAGTACCACTTTGACCTGACCATTAAGACCATTAACTGGATCAAGGACATCAACGACATCTGCGACTACAATGCTTCGCAGCAGGAGCAGTTCAAGTTCACCTTCGAGGAGCACCTGCAGGAGGTCATCAAGAAGCTGAACATGGACATTGACGACCTGCTGCCCAAGTTGGCGGTCATCGACGACATGAGTCGGCCGGACAAGTTCCGCGACAGCTACATCATCCTGCAGAACTTCATAGATCAGCTTAAGACCTTCGACGACTACGTGGCCTGGATCAACAAGGAGGAGAAGCTCTTTAAGATCGCCATAACCGAGTATCCAAAATTGGAGATCATCAAGACGTTTGTTTATCCGTTTGCCGAGCTTATGAAGTAAGTACTAAAGTTAGGCAATTACTTTTGTTTAGGTTATTATTTAAAATCAGAAAGTTTAGTTTTAAATAAGAAAAGTTAAGGCCATAAACTTTTATAATGATTTCAAAAGGTTAGATATTTAATATAATTCAAATCCATTAACTATTTGTAGACTTTGTATTGAGTGGCAGCGGTATTTAAGCGTGTGGAACGACGGTCCCTTTGAGTACCTGGAACCGCAGTTTGTGGAGAGAACTACGGACGATTACTTAAAGGAGTTCCAAAAGAACCAGAAGTACTACAGGGTCAAGATCAAGCAGGATCTGATCGACAATCCAGTGTGCAAATTTAAGGTGAAATCTTATAACTGATTATAACAAAATCGTTCGGTGTAAATTGCTGTCTCTGCAGGGTCAAACCGAAGATCCTGATCCGGCCAAGCACCCGGTGCCGCTTCGTCTGTGCACTTCGATGATCCAGTCGATCAAGGACTTCACCACCGGCGTGTTTATAGTGAACACCATGTGCAATCCGGCTCTGCGCAAGCGCCACTGGAAGGAGATGTCGGAAATAGCCGGCTGGGACGTGACGCCCGATGCGGGGACCACTTTGCGAAAGATCCTCAACTCGGGTCTGGACCCGGTGCTCGACCAGTTCGAGATCATCAGCATCGGGGCCAACAAGGAGCTGCAGCTGTGGAACGCGCTGCAGGCGATGATCAAGGAGTGGGAAAGCAGGGTGTTTCCCTACGGTCCCTATAAGGAGACGGGTGTGACGATTCTCAGCAGCTTGGACGACATCCAGGCTCTGTTGGACGACCACATCCTCAAGACTCTGGTCATGCGCGGCTCGGCTTTCATGAAGCCCTGCGAGGAGGAGGTGCGCGCCTGGTACGAGAAGATCATGCGGGTGAATGAGACGCTCGACCAGTGGGGCAAGGTGCAGGCCAACTACCTCTACCTGCTGCCCATATTCTCCTCCAAGGACATTGTGGCCCAGATGCCCGAGGAGGGTCGCCTCTTCACCATCGTGGAGCAGACCTACACGCGGAACATGGGCTTGGTTCTCCGCCAGCCTCTGGTAATGGAAACTGCTCCCGTTGCGGGTCTGCTGGAGTCCCTGCAGAAGGCCAACGAGTTGCTGGAGGACATTGCCACTGGAGTGAGCAACTACCTGGAGAAGAAGCGCCTGTACTTCCCGCGCTTCTTCTTCCTGGCCAACGACGAGATGCTCGAGATCCTGTCCGAGACGAAGGATCCCCTGCGCGTGCTCCCGCATCTGAGCAAGTGCTTCGAGGGCATCAACAGCCTGGAGTTCGATGCGGCCAAGAACGTGCTGGCGATGATCAGCAGCGACAAGGAGACGATCGAGTTCATCGAGCAGGTCTCCACGGCGGCGGCCGGCGGAAGTGTGGAGAAGTGGCTGGTCGGCGTGGAGGACGAGATGCTCAAGGCGGTGCGCTACCAGAACGAGCTCTCCTTCGCCCACTACCCGAAGGTGAAGCGGCACGAGTGGGTGCTCGAGTGGCCCCAGATGACGGTGCTGGCCATCTCGCAGGTCTACTGGGCGTTGCGCGTCCATGGCTGCCTGCGCCGCACCTTCGGCGGCAACATGGCCATCATGATGAACTTTTTCCAGGATCTGTCCAAGGAGCTGACCGACATCGTGACCTTAGTTCGCTCGCCAAAGATCAGCAACCTTAACCGGATCACCATCAAGTCACTCATTGTGATCGATGTGCACGCCAAGGACGTCACCGAGGACCTCATCAAGAACAAGGTGAGCAGCGAGTTCGACTTCCAGTGGCTGGCCCAGATGCGCTACTACTGGGAGGACGACAAGACCTGGGTGCGGATCATCAACGCAACCGTTCCTTTTGCCAACGAGTACCTGGGCAACTCGGATCGCCTGGTGATCACCCCGCTGACGGATCGTTGCTACCGCACTCTGGTGGGAGCTTATCAGCTCCATTTGAACGGAGCTCCGGAGGGACCGGCAGGCACGGGCAAGACGGAGACCACCAAGGATCTCGCGAAGGCGCTGGCCGTCCAGTGCAAGGTCTTCAACTGCTCCGACGGCCTGGACTACAAGGCCATGGGCAAGTTTTTCAAGGGACTGGCCTCGTGCGGCGCTTGGGCCTGCTTCGATGAGTTCAACCGGATCGAGTTGGAAGTGCTCTCCGTGGTGGCCCAGCAGATCCTGCTCATCATCCAGGCCGTGCGCAGCAACGCCGTCAAGTTCATGTTCGAGGGCACTGAGTTGACCCTGAATCCGGCCTGCTACGTCTGCATCACCATGAATCCCGGCTATGCGGGTCGATCCGAGCTGCCGGACAATCTTAAAGTGCTCTTCCGTTCGGTGGCCATGATGGTGCCGGACTACGCCATGATCGGCGAGATCTCTCTCTACTCCTACGGGTTCGTCGATGCCCGAAAGCTGGCCGTGAAGATCGTGACCACTTACCGCCTCTGTTCGGAGCAGCTCTCCAGCCAGAATCACTACGATTACGGAATGCGAGCCGTGAAGACGGTGCTCTCCGCCTGCGGCAACATCAAGAAGCAATATCCGGACGAGGTGGAGGATATTCTGCTGCTGCGGAGCTTGATCGATGTGAATCTGCCCAAGTTCCTCTCGTTCGATGTGCCCCTGTTCGAGGGCATCATTTCGGACATCTTTCCGGGCATCAAGTTGCCCCACATCGATTACAGCCTGGTAGAAACGGAGTTTGTGCGAGTCTGTCTGGAGGAGGACCTGGAGCCCGCTCCCAGTTTCCTGCTCAAGGTGATACAGACATACGAGATGATCATTGTGAGGCACGGATTCATGCTGGTGGGAGAACCGCTGGCCGGAAAGTCCAAGACACTCCAGGTGCTGGCCAAGGTCTTGTCCGCACTGAAAATCAAGGCGCCGCAGAAGAGCAACTACTTTCAGCACGTCCAAATGGGCATCATGAACCCCAAGTCCATTACCATGAACCAGCTGTACGGCTCCTTCGATCCCATCTCGTACGAGTGGACAGATGGCCTGGTGGCCAAGATCTTCCGTGACTTTGCCATGACGCCCACACCGGATAGGAAGTGGGTAAGTTGTATGGGTATCCGGATTTAATTGGATTGGATTTAATGCATGATGAATGATTTTAAGGTCATTTTTGACGGACCCGTGGATGCCGTTTGGATTGAGAACATGAACACGGTGCTGGACGACAACAAGAAGCTGTGCCTGACCAGCGGCGAGGTGATCACCATGACCAACGAGATGTCGATGGTGTTCGAGGTGATGGACCTGGCCCAGGCCTCGCCAGCCACCGTCTCCCGATGCGGCATGATCTACATGGAGCCCTCGACTCTCGGATGGCGGGCCTTCGCCAACAGCTGGCTAAAGAAGGCGGATCCGCGCTGGGCGGATGAGGAGAACGTGCCCTATGTGCTGGCCCTGTTCCAGTGGCTGCTAACTCCCGTGAGTTTCATTTAATTCCTTCATCAGAAATAATAATGGATTACTTTGGATCTTCTGCATTCCAGTGCCAGACTTTTGTGCGGCGGTACTGCAGTCAGTTCATAAAACCAGGAGAGTTCAACTGCATGCGGACCACCTTCAGCCTATTCGAAATGCAGATTGCGGAGGCCATCGAGGAGAACCCGGAGGACTACCAGAAGTACATACAGAGCTACTTCCAGGCTGCCATGCTGTACTCTCTGATTTGGGGAGTGGGCGGCGTGCTGGACACCGCCTCTCGGGAGAAGTTCGATCTGTTTCTGCGGAAGGTATTTACCCTAAGTAAAAATCCTCTCCAGTTGCTTCTCAAACATGACTATGCCATTGCAGCTTTGGGACAGCGATCCTCCTCCGCCGGAGCCTCTGGGAAAAATGGAGATAACTCCGCCCAACGAGGGACTTTTGGTGGACTACGTCTTCTTGTACAAGCAGCGCGGAGCGTGGCGATATTGGCCCGATCTTGCCAAGCGCATGGACGTGGAGGAGACCAAGACGGGAGTGATTGTGCCCACGGTGGACACGGGGCGGTACATCCACCTGCTGAAGATGCACGTGGATCACAAGAGGCGAATGCTGCTCGTTGGACCGACGGGCACTGGGAAAACGGTCTACATCCAGAACTACCTGATGAACAAGCTGGACAAGGATGTGTTCGAGACGGGATTCATCACCTTCACCGTGATGATCTCGGCCAACCAGTGCCAGGACCTGCTCATCTCCAAGCTGCAGAAGTGGAAGCGCGGCATCTACGGCCCGCCGAAGGGCATGCAGAGTGTCCTCTTCGTGGACGACATGAACATGCCGGTGAAGGAGGTCTACGGCGCCCAGCCTCCGCTGGAGCTGCTGCGTCAGTTCTTCGACTACGGTCATGTCTACGACCTGAAGGACAGCTCCAAGGTCTTCATCCACAACGTGCTGATCATGGCGGCCTGCGGACTGCCCGGCGGCAGTCGCCAGGATGTCTACGCCCGCTTCCTGAACCACTTCAACGTCTATTCGATTAACACGTTCAGCGACGACAGCATGTTCCGCATCTTCCTGAACGTGGCGCTCAATGGCTTCCGGCGCTGTGGCCACGGCCAGGATGTGTTCGTGGTGACCAACCAGATAGTGAGCGCCACGCAGAGCATCTACAAGCTGGTCCAGTCGGAGATCAGGGCCACGCCGGCCAAGTCGCACTATATATTCAACCTGCGCGACATGTCGCGCGTGGTCACCGGATGCACTTTGGTGCGCAAGGAGTCCGTCACGGACAAGAAGATCTTCGTGCGGGTCTGGTACCACGAGGCCATGCGGGTCTTCTACGATCGCCTGGTGGACGACGTGGACCGCAAGTGGATGTTCGAGAAGCTGAACGATTGCCTGAAGGCCAATTTCAAGGAGAAGGTGGAGACTGTCTTCGAAAGATACTGCGTTCCGGTGAGTTAAATTGGATTGATAATCCAAATTATCAAATTAAATTGGATTTATTGATCCAATTAATTAAATTAAATTTTATTGATAAACCAAATAATCAAATTAAATTAGATTGATAATCCAATTAATCAAAATAAATTGCATTGATAATCCAATTATTCAAATTAAATTGGATTGATAATCTAAATTATTAAATTAAATTGGATTGATAATCCAAATGATCAAATTAAATTAAATTGAATTGATAATCAAAACTATCAAATTATTTATTTATTTATTTATTATTAAAGATAGAGAAGTTTACAAAACTAGACTAACTTAGGTGGTAAAGCGCTGGCAGCAAGGCCTTCGGCTCTTAAGGTTAATGTTATTTAAGTCTATTAGTTTATTTACATGTTGTTTATTGTAGTTTTGCTACTTAGTTGGTAATATTAGTAATTTCTGTACATTTTTGTTTGTGTTTTATATTTTGTGGTAAAGGTTTGAGGTTTTTAAGAAAGTTAAGATTTGTTCTACATTATTTGGGTTGAGGTCGTTAAGGAGGTTTATTGGGTTTGTGTTTTTGAAAATGGATAGTTTAGTGGATAGGAGTGATGGGCATGAGTTAAGTAGGTGGGGTATGGTATTGTCGCCTTGGCAGAAGGGACATGGCGAAGTTTGATTTTGATTGAAGTAGTGTTCATGTGTAAGTTTAGTGTGGCCTAACCTAAGGCGTATTATTTTTATTTGATCGAGTCTGTTCGATTTGGGATGGAAGGATCTAAAGTAATTGTCTATGTTTGAAAAGTCTTTGTTCATAGTTTTGTACCATTGATTGCAGTGTTCTATATTTTGTCTATTTCTTGTTCGGAATTCTTGCTTTAGATGTCTGTTGATGTCTGTTTGATTTATGTTTGGGGTGTAGATGAGGGGCATATTGCTAGTCGATTTTGCAGTATGGTCGGCTAGCTCGTTGCCTGCTATGCCTACATGACCAGGGATCCAAAGTAATTTTATTTTTGGAGCTAGTTTTGTAAGAAGTGATCTGATTTTGTTGGAATAAAAGTTGTTGTTGTTGGTGTTTGTTATGGTGTCAATTGCTGAGAGAGAGTCAGAGCAGATCATGAATTTTCCCCTTGTGTTTTTGACTTGGTCGATCGCTGTTAGGATGGCTATTATTTCAGCAGAAAGTACTGATGAATATGGGGGTAGTATACCATATTTAAATTGGATTGATAATCCAATTAATCAAATTAAATTGGATTGAAACTCCAATTAATCAAATTAAATTGAATTGATACTCCAATTAATCAAATTAAATTGAATTGATAATCCAATTAACCAAATTCAATTGGATGGATAATCTTTTAGGGAAAGGACGAGCCGGAGTTCACCATGGAGGCGGCCAGCAACATCCTGTTCGGCGTGTACTTCGACGAGGACAGCGTGCCGGACGAGCGGCGCTACGAGGAGGTGCCCAGCATGGAGGTCTTCCTGAACCTGGCCAAGACCAGCCTGGAGGACTACAACTCGACGCGTCGCAACAAGATGGACATCACCCTGTTCACCTTTGCGCTGCAGCATCTCAACCGCATCTGCCGCATCATATCGATCCAGGGAGCCAGTGCCCTGATCATCGGACTGGGCGGATCCGGTCGCCAGTCCCTGACCAAGCTGGCCACCAACATGGTGCAGACGTCGTTCTTCCAGCCGGAGATCACCAAGAACTACGGGGCCAACGACTGGCACGACGACATCAAGGCGATCCTCAAGGAGGCGGGCGGCATGAACAAGCACACCACCTTCCTGATCACCGAAAACCAGATCAAGATGGAGCTCTTCCTGCAGGACATCGACTGTCTCCTCAACCAGGGCGAGGTGCCCAACATCTTCCCCATCGACGAGAAGCAGGAGGTCCTGGAAATGGTTCGCCTGGCTGCGCAGGGAGGCAACCGGAACATCGATGTCTCCGCCCTGCAGGTCTTCTCCTTCTTCGTGGACCGCTGCAAGCAGAAACTGCACATGATCCTCAGCTTCTCGCCCATCGGAGATGCTCTGAGGACGAGGGTGCGTCTGTATCCCTCACTGGTCAACTGCTGCACCATCGATTGGTACGACAGCTGGCCCGAGGAGGCGCTGGCCATGATTGCCCAGATGTCGCTGCTGGACGTCAATGTCCCCAGCGAGGACATCAAGCTGGCCATCATGGACACCTGCCAGTACTTCCACACGACGGCGGCGAAGACCACGCGAGCCTTCTGCCAGATGACCGGACGCCACATCTACCAGACGAACGCCTCCTTCATCGAGCTGATCCGCTCCTTCCAGACGCTCATCGCCCGCAAGCAGAACGAGACGATGCTGGCCAAGATGCGCTACATCGGTGGCCTGGACACTTTAGCTCAGGCAGCCGCCGCCATCTCGATCATGCAGCGGGACCTGAATGCCCTGCAGCCCAAGTTGGTCGCCCTGGCGGAGGCGTCGCGCAAGATGATGCTGGAGATCAACAAGGAGACGCTGGCCGCCAGTGCCGCCGCCGAGCAGGTGAAACGGGACGAGGAGGTGGCATCCGTGCAGGCCGAGGCCGCCCAGGTGCTGAAGCACGACTGCGAGCGGGACCTGGCCAAGGCCATTCCCGTCCTGGAAGACGCCTTGGCTGCTCTGAACACCCTCAAACCCGCGGACATAACGCTGGTCAAGTCGATGAAGAATCCCCCGCCGGTCATCAAGCTGGTGATGGCGGCAGTTTGTGTGATCAAGGGGATTCCCCCCGAGCGCATCCCGGACCCGGCCTCCGGCAAAATGGTGCAGGACTACTGGGGACCCAGCAAGCGGCTGCTGGGCGAGATGAACTTTCTGCCGGCACTGAAGGAGTTCGACAAGGACAACATTCCGGCGGACATCATGAAGCGCATCCGCAAGGAGTTCATCCCCAACAAGGACTTCGATCCCAAGGTGGTGGCCAAGGCATCCAGTGCAGCCAAGGGTCTCTGCCAGTGGATCATTGCGATGGACATGTACGACGAGGTGGCCAAGGTCGTGGCGCCCAAGAAGGCCAAGCTGGCCGGGGCGGAGAAGGAGTACGCCGACACCATGGAGTTCCTAGCCCAGAAGAGGGCGCTGGCCCTGGCCCTCGAGGAGAAGGTGGCCCAGCTGAACATCGAGCTGGACAAGGCCAACGCGGAGATGCAGAAGACGGAGGACCACGCCGAGAGCTGTCGCAACAAGCTGCTCCGAGCGGAGGCCCTGATCGGCGGACTGGGTGGGGAGAAGTCGCGCTGGAACAAGGCGGCCGAGGATCTCCAGGAGCTGTATGACCACCTGCCGGGCGACGTGCTCATCTCCTGCGGCATCATCGCCTACCTGTCGGCCGTGAATCTGCAATACCGGTCGGAGTGCGTCAAGAACTGGTTCAAGAAGGTGACCGACCTGAAGATCCCCTGCTCCACCAAGTACTCCATCTCGGATGTGCTGGGCCTGGAGGTGACCATCCAGAACTGGCAGCTGGACGGGCTGCCCAACGACGAGTTCTCCAGCGAGAACGCCATCATCTCGGCCAACTCCAGCCGATACAGCCTGTTCATCGATCCGCAGGCGCAGGCCAACAACTGGCTGAAGAACATGGAGCGCAAGAACCGGCTGAACTGCGTCAAGTTCAACCAGAGCAACTACATGAAGGTGATAGCCGAGGCGCTGGAGTACGGCACCCCCGTCATCATCGAGAACGTGCAGGAGGAGCTGGAGGTGCCGCTCGACCCGATCCTGATGCGCCAGACCTTCCTCCAAGGCGGCGTCAAGCACATCAGCCTGGGCGAGGCGGTGGTGCCGGTGAACCCGAACTTCCGGCTCTACATGACCTGCAACCTGCGCAACCCGCACTTCCTGCCGGAGACCTTCAACAAGGTGACCGTGATCAACTTCGCCCTCACCCAGAACGCCCTGATGGACCAGCTGCTCAGCATTGTGGTGGCCAAGGAGCGGCCCGATCTCCAGGAGCTGCGCATAACGCTCACCACGGAGGCGGCGGCCAACAAGGGAGCGCTCCGGGATGCAGAGAACATGATCCTGAAGACGCTCAGCGCCGGCGGCGACATTCTGGAAAACGAGGCGGCCATCCAGATCTTGGCGGACTCGAAGGGTCTGTCCAAGGACATCGTGGAGAAGCAGGAGGCGGCCAAGGAGACGGTGGCCAAGATCGAGGCCTTCCGGCTGAACTACAAGCCCGTGGCGGTGCACTCCTCCATACTTTACTACTCCATAACGGATCTGCCGAACATCGATCCCATGTACCAGTTCTCCCTCAACTGGTACATCAACCTCTACATGTACTCCATCGAGACGGCCAACAAGTCGAAGGATCTGCCGCGGCGCATCAAGTTCCTGGTGGACGGCTTCACCCGCAACCTGTACAACAACGTCTGCCGCTCCATTTTCGAGAAGGACAAGCTGCTCTACTCCTTCATCCTCACCGCCCGCATCCTGCTGGGCACCGGTCAGGTGGAGATGCGCCATTTTGCCCACCTGGTCACGAACGCCAAGGAGTCGACGAACATTCCGCCCAATCCGGATCCCAGCTGGATCACCGAAACCGTCTGGCTGAATGTGCTCCGCTTGGAGGAACTGAAGGAGCTGAAGGGCATTGTGGAGCACTTCAAGAGCCACCTGTCCGCCTGGCAGGCCATCTACGACCACTTCTCGCCGGAGAAGCAACCTCTGCCGGCTCCGTGGCACGACAAGACCACCGCCTTCGAGAAGATTATTGTTTTAAAGGCTCTTCGCCCCGATTCCGTGTTCCTGGCGGTGCGCATCTTCATTGCCGAGTGCATCGGGGATCAGTATGTGACGCCGCCGGAGTTCGACATCTCCAAGTCGTATGCGGACTCCACGGCACTCACACCGCTGGTGTTCATCCTCTCGCCCGGAGCAGATCCTCTGGGCTCTCTGCTGGCGTTCGCCGAGAAGATGGGCCAGGAGGAGTCCTTCCAGAGCATCTCGCTGGGCCAGGGACAGGGTCCGATTGCCACGGCGCTGATCAAGAACGCTCAGGAGATGGGCTACTGGGTGTGCCTGCAGAACTGCCATCTGGCCGCCTCCTGGATGCCCTACCTGGAGTACCTGTGGGAGAACATGGACACCTTCAACACCACACGTGAGTTTTGAATCCACATTCTTCATATGGTTTTAATCTTATATCGAGTGAATCCCTTCTTGCAGCCAACTTCCGCATCTGGCTGACAGCCTATCCCACACCCCAATTCCCGGTTACCATCCTCCAGAACGGCGTCAAGATGACCAACGAACCACCCACCGGACTAAAGGAGAACCTTATGCGCTCCTACAACTCGGAGCCCATCAACGACTACGAGTTCTACACGGGATGTGCCAAGCAGGATCGCGCCTTCACCCGGCTGCTCTACGGCATTTGCTTCTTCCACGCGGTGGTCCAGGAGCGCAGGAAGTACGGCCCCTTGGGATGGAACATAGCCTACGGATTCAACGAGTCCGACTTGCAGATCTCTGTGCTTCAGCTGAGCGTAAGTAGACTACCGAGGAGTGTATCTTACATTACTCTTGTTTTTTATTTATTTTTATTTTTATTTTTTTACTCATAATCATTCTTTCTTTCCAGATGCTCCTGAACCAGTACGACCACGTGCCCTACGACGCCATCTCGTACTTGACCAGCGAGTGCAATTACGGAGGCAGGGTCACCGATAACTGGGATCGCCGCCTGATCGTCACCATCCTGGCGGACTTCTGCAATGCCCAGGCAGTTTCCGACAATCGCTACCGGTTCGCCAGCGACGATCGCTACATCCTGCCCCGCAAGACGGAGCACCGCGAGATCCTGCGCTACCTGGACGAGAATCTGCCCTCGCTGGCGCCGCCCGAGGTCTACGGCCTGCACGCCAACTCCGGCATCACCCGGGATCTGCAGACGACCAAGACGCTGCTCGACTCGATGATCCTTCTGCTGGGCAGCGAGGCAGCGGGATCAGCGGGAGCGGGCGTCAGTGTGGAGCAGGTCATCCTGGACACCATCAAGCAGATCGAGCACGACATGCCCGCGGACATGGACATTGAGGCGGCGGCGGAGAAGTATCCGGTGGACTACAACGAGTCCATGAACACGGTGGTCGTGCAGGAAATGGAGCGGTTCCTCAAGCTGCAGAAGGAGATCCGGGCCTCCTGCCGGGACCTGGCCATGGGCATCAAGGGCATCATCGTGATGACGCCCGATCTGGAGAACGTGATGACAGCGATGAAGTTCAACCGCATTCCGACCAAGTGGATGTCCAAGTCGTACCCCTGCCTGAAGCCACTGGGTTCCTATGTCCAGGATCTGTACAAAAGAGTCAACTGGCTGCACGATTGGCACCACCACGGGAAGCCGCCGACCTTCTGGTTGTCCGGATTCTTCTTCACACAGGCCTTCCTCACGGGCGCCATGCAGAACTTCGCCCGGAAATACAAGATCCCCATAGACACCCTGACCTTCGACTACGACGTGCTCAAGGTGGAGACGAAGGCCACGCCGCCGGACGACGGGGTGTACTGCAACGGACTGTTCCTGGAGGGCGCCCGCTGGGACTGGCGTGACGGCTGCCTGGTGGAGCAGCTGCCCAAGGTGCTGATCTACACCATGCCCGTGATCTACTTCCGGCCCATCGGACTCGTCGACGTGGTCGAGGGCTCGCGCTACCGCTGCCCGCTCTACAAGACCGGCGAACGCAAGGGCACGCTCTCCACGACGGGTCACTCCACGAACTACGTGGTGCCGCTGCTGCTGAGCACCCATGTCAAGGCCTCGCACTGGGTCAAGCGAAGCGTGGCCCTGATCTGCCAGACGAGCGACTAAGCTTCCTATTAAACCATTTTCTGTTAACGTATTCATGTGTTTTGAACATATGCAAAGATTTTTTATTGCATGTGTCTAAATTACAAGGTAGAGTTGTAAGCGAATTTATATTTTTAATCATCAGGCATTTAATACGATATTAACCAAGCTTCGAAAAGAAGAATATTCTAAACATGTATTAATCTATCAGTATTATTCTCAAATTATAAGCACGATTTTTCATAACCACTCAAGAACGCAAACACTCTGCTCCTTTCTCAATGAGCATTTATTAAACCTTGTTTAAAATAAAAATATGCGCACTTATGTGTTACGGTTACAAATTCACAGCTTCTGAAACGCTTTGCAACAAATCCACGGTATCAAAAGTCGGGGAGGGCTTTCGAAGCTCATCCACGCCAGCGACGATACTGCGCGTCACTGCGTGCGGCAGTGCAACGTGTCCAGCGCGGCGGCAGCAGCGGCTCCCTCGCCATTGGCGTCGTCGGAGCTGTTGCTGCTGCGACGCTGGGAAGCCGGATTTGAGGGACTGGAATCGTTGCTCGTGCTCGAGCTGTTCTCCCAATGTGGCCCATCCTGGCGAAGCAAGGACCTGGGGCTATTGGGATTCGAAGGACGTCGCAATCGCGGTCTGCGGCTGGGCTCCAGAAACTGACGGATAAAGTACTGGAACTGGTTGCCGTCAAAGTCGCCTCTGTCAACGATGTTGCGCCGGAAATTGCGCTGCAGCGTGTGCTTCAGTGTGGCCTCGTCAAGGTCGCTCTACGAGAATAAATCGGTAAATCGGTGATCATTACTTCGATCTTCGAGCAGCCAAGCACTGAATTGAACCTACCTTATTAGGGCCATTTGGCGTCCAGATCTTGACGTCATGCTCTAAACCTGAGGTGGCCAGCACCGGCATCCAGGGGTGCGGCTCCAGGCAGTTGACCACTCCGGCATGGTCGCCCTTCATGTAGTTGATGATTGCCTCTGTGTTCCTGTCCCAGAAGAATATGTTTCCGCAGTCGCTACCGCTCACTATGTACTCGGATCTGGGGCCAAAGAAGTTCACGCCCTTGATGGTGCGGCTATTGCTGTGGAAAGGAACGGAAGGCGGCAAAGGTGAAGAAAAGAACCTTGGGTGACTGGCACAGACTTACATGTGTCCCTCGTAGCAGTGCAGATACTCGCCGTCCTTGTTATTGCGACTGTCGAACAGATAGATACCCGCATCGCTGTACGAGGCCAAGATCTCACTTCCACTATGGTTGTACACGGCACAGGTGATCTGCGTTATTTTGTTCTGGGCACGAGAAGAAAACAGAGATTAGTCTGCCTGGCCGGGGCGTGGCACATGCTCACTTCCTTCAGAATGGTCGGGGACATCTCGAGGATAGGCTTCGTGGCACTGCGTTTGTCGTAGACCCGGAGTTTGTCATCGGATCCGCTGACGCAGAACTCAGGCGCGTACGGATGATGGGCGATGCTGAACAGACGCACCCGGCGCCTCTCGTTTCCGTCATGGCAGATGTTGCGCAAAATCACGCTGGCCGAGTTGCTGGTGCGCAGGTCAAAGTGCTTGACGGACGCATCCTCGCCGGCACTCATCACCTCGTGACGACTCTGCGGCACCAACACGATCTTGTGCACGGAATCGCTGTGAGAGTAGAGGCGCACGGGCTTTATGGCTCCGCCGGAGGGCGGAATGACTGCCCGGCGTACCTGACCATCCCTGCTGGCGGACACGATGTCCAAACAGCCGGCGCTGTCAATAAACTTGGTCTGGAAGATGTTCATGGTGTGCCCGGAGCGAAATCTGTACACCGGTGTGTCGTTAGCCCAGTCCCAGACGATGATGTGGAGATCGTCGGACCCAGAGCATACCAGGTCGCCAGCTCGGTTGAAGTTTAGGCAGTTGACGCAGCCGTTGTGCTTGTTCAGCGAACTCAGCTGCGTCAACTGCTCCACAACCTGGCGCGAGCCGTAGTATCCTTGGCCAAAGCTCTGAGTCGAGGTGTGGCCACCGCGCCAACCAATTCGGTTAATGATGTTGTGCTCACGGTGCATAAGCTCCTGGGCGCAGTTCCACGTGTACTTCGGTTTGTACTTGCACATCACTTCATCCACCGCAAAGTCCACTTTCTCGCGGTCGGCGGCACTGGCCTCTGGATCGGGGGACAAGTCTCCCTGAAAAGTCTAGAGTTGTTAGTGGAGGACTCATTAAAGGATTGCTTTATTTTAAAAGTTATTATGTACACAATTACCTCTGAGCTGGAGTCAATTTCACTAGAAAGGTCATATCTGTGCACAACTTCTTCGCTAGAAGAACTGTCCGAGGACAAATCTTCGATGATAACTGGCTCATCGGCCGCATCTGCCGCAGGCTGTGCATCGCTATCCACTTCTGCCTCTTCTGTTTCATCCTGCACATCGGGCTCGAGTGAATAGCTACTATCCGAGTCGGTTATAGTGCCCACCAGCTCTACGCTGATGCGACGATAGGAGCGTGTGGCCGGGATGTTGCGGTGGTTGAACCTGGGCGAAGTGACTGATGGAGAGGCGTCTCCTGTCCGCGGAGAAGTAGGTGGATCGTCATCACTATCGATGGGGGTTGTACCACTGCTTAACTTTGGCTTATTGTTGGCCAGTACAGCACTGGCGGCATGTGGCGATAATTGACACTCCCGATAGGAGGAGCCGGCCTGCTCCTCATCCAGCTGGCCCTCAAGGGGCTCCTTCTCCGGCTGCTCCTCTTTTAGCTTCGGGTTCTCAATCTGTTCCGTCTGTTGATTGTCCTCCGACTGCGCCTCTTCAGGAAATGCCTTTTCCTGCTGAGCCTGATCAGCTTCCATTACCTCCGATATCTTTTCATCCTGCTTCAGCGATTGTTTTACGCCCAACATGTCGCCCTCTTCGTTATTGTTGTTGCTTGTGATTGTGCTGTTAATTACGGACAGGTTTGGGGTGACAGTTTTCTCCTCGCTGCATTCACCGGGGGAAAAAAAAATCGATCAATCGGTTATCCAAGCCACAGAGCTTACTCAACCACCGACACCACCACTTACCCAACCTGCGCCGCGTCTCCCAGCTGTCCGTCGTCCCGGGAATCTGTGTTCCTCCGCTGGCGCTTGCAGGCGGACGCCTCTTCGCTGGCCCCGCAACCCTCCTCCACGTCCATTGCTGGTGGAGATTGGTCTCTGATCTCTGTCGGTCGGTTTTGCTTGGTTTTGGTGCCCCAATAATGTAGTTTTAATCGAATTTGTTTAAATTTTACTAAGTCATACGCAGTTGTTTACGTCCAAACCGCAGAGATGGGACTTGCTTTTTGTGGTCCAGAACGATAGACCGATAGTTGTGGCGCTTTTTTATCGAAAGTTTGAAAGTCTGCGACAATTGAAGCTTAAAACATGTTCGTTATTTTGGTACAGAATTGGAATTTGTTATGGTAAGACAATTTTCGAAATTCTACTCGCAACTGCTAGATCTGTTTGTTCATGTTGTTCTGTAAAAAAAAAACAATTAAACATGTTTTATTTCAATTTAACAATGTATTAGAATAATAAATTCAACTATCCATAACATAATGTGAGTCAATGGCAGCCTAGTTGTGTCCTTAAATGTTATATACATTTTTTAAATTAATTAATATATGCGAGTATAATTCAGTCAAACGATCTCTTGAATAAAGTTATTTACTCTTCTGAAGCTTTCTCTTTGGGAAGTTTTAACGGTAACGGACTAAACCCGAACGTTTTTGGAGCCGACGAAACTACCTTATACTTATTCTACCATGGCTCCACCGACGTCTTGGCATTTTGGCTCTTGGTTTAATTGAGGAGAGTGCCATGTGGTTGGGCTGGTGGATCGGGTTCGGCTTGAGTGGCTCTATAGAGCCCGCACTGTATTCATATATGTATCAATTTTTGCTGTGGCCACGACCAAAGCGAAAGAGGCGAGTTCAGTTTAAAACAACCTTTCGTTGAAGGCGGTGCGAAGTTCTGTGCGGAATAACAACATAACTTCGGGTAATAAAACATAGTGCACACCGCACAAAATAAATAAAGTCGAATAAATTCTACACACGCTGTGCACGTAAACGGAGTTACATATAGTATACTCCCTTTGTACGGTACTTATCCAAGAAGACCGTGAAAGTACCTGTTTTGATGTCACCCGAGGGTTTCTCCTCGGTTTCTGTACTCGTGTGTGTTTGTTAACTGGCTCTCCACTTCCTCTGCTGCGCATGCGCAACCTAAAAAGTACAAATATAACTATCAATCTCTATCAATCCATCTGGATGTTCATATATCCCACCCCGTTCGATGTTTGTTCTCGTCTTTATGGCCTGGTTTTTTCCTCTCGATTTCGATTTCGTACATGTTTTGCGGCTTCTTTGTTTATTTCGGTCGGGTCTTAACTCGTGATGAACGCCAGATTCCGGTTTGCCTTAGGCCTGAGCAACAAAAACTAATAAAAAAAGAAACAAATTAATATGCATAAGTTTGGTGGAAAAAAAGGCGGAAAGTGAAACCGCTCTGAGCTTTGTTTTCCACCCATTTCTCGGTGCGCACTTCCTATTTTCCAGCTCTTGCAATATTACGATCTTTTGAGTGCCTATTCATGCCGTTCGCTATCAGACTCGAGTTATCAAGGCTAACTTGTTTGTCCCTCGGACGATAAAAAACGGTCTGGAGCCGCGGAAACCCGCTGAAATCGCATGATTCACGTCACACGGTTCTGCTCGATGCACCAAAGATTTGCTGTCCAGCTATTTAAGGGCGCACCGGCGAAAGTTGAGAATCAGGTTCGACAACCCACTCGACTCACCAGTCGGCTTCAGATTCCACGATTATGGAACGATCTGGACCGAAAAGAACAAAGCTGAGTCTTTGATTACATTCGACTTGAATTAGTTATTAAAATTCATTCGGAATGATTCACGTTATGGAGTGTACATCTAAAAAAAACATGATTACAGTCGCAGTCATTTCATGTTGAGTGGAATAAAGAATGATATTTAAATTCCCAAAAATCTAAATGTATATTGCCAAAGTTTCTAGGTAAAAATTTCTTTCTATCTGCTGAAAAGATTGCCCGTGTCAAGATCAAGTGTTATCAACAATCAATTATTGTTTTCAAAACCTAAAAGAGATACAAAACAAAGCTAGGCAACAAGACTCATCGATGGGAACTGTGTATAGTATATTCCCTTTAGACTTTGACTCTAGCATGTCAGTCTCCCTTGACTTCATGAGTAGATTCTTGGGCCTTTCACTTTTCCGTTCAATTGAGGCGCCAATTGAGCTGAATTGCAATAATGAATTGTCACAACATAGTTGCAGGCGCACCACGCAAAGCATTTAACTCGATTCCGGTTCGTCTCCCCCAGAGAAACCAAGCCGCAGATGACGCAGAAGGGCGGATTGTGGGGAGGAGCACCGCAGCTGTGGCCTCTCCTCCTGCTGGCATCCATTTCGAGCAGCTTGTGGGCTTCCGTGGCAGCCAGGACAGGTGGGTAGTGCTGGCAAATGCTGGCTTAACCGCAACGAGGGGGTTGCTAACTGTTTCTCTTCTACTTTGTATACTATCCTTTTTGCAGGACCCTCGCACGACAAGGTGGTGGTTTGCTACATTTCCACCTGGGCGGTTTACCGGCCGGAAAGGGGCGCCTATGCCATCGACAACTTCGATCCCAACCTGTGCACCCATGTGGTGTACGCATTTGCGGGTCTGGACATCACCCAGGCGGCCATTAAGTCGTTGGGTGAGTTAAAGGGTTCGATTTTGGGAAATTTTATGCAAATTTTAAGGCTTCCTTAAACAGGTTCAAGGACCAGTTGGTTATGTTTCCATGGTTCTGGGTATTTCTTGTTTAGATATACAAATACCCAACAAATATAATATTCTATTATCGCTAATTTATACTTTCTTTCTGTGTAGATCCCTGGCAGGACCTGAAGGAGGAGTACGGCAAGGGTGGCTACGAGAAGCTGACCGGCCTGAAGCGCAGCCATCCGCATCTAAAGGTGAGCCTGGCCATCGGCGGTTGGAACGAGGGATCGGCCAACTACTCCACCCTGGTGGCCAACAACCTACTGCGCGGCCGGTTCGTTAAGCAGGTGTCCAGCTTCATAAGGAAGTACAACTTCGATGGCCTCGATCTGGACTGGGAGTATCCCACGCAGCGGAAGGGAAAGCCCGCCGATCGCGAGAACTTCGTCCTGCTGACCAAGGAGCTGCGCGAGGAGTTCGACGAGCACGGCCTGCTGCTGACCTCCGCCATCGGGGCTGCGAAGAAGGTCATCGACGAGGCCTACGATGTGCGGCAGATCTCGCGGTATCTGGACTACCTGCACATCATGTGCTACGACTACCACGGCAGCTGGGATCAGAGGGTGGGCTACAACGCACCGCTCGCGGCGCCCGCGGATGATCCTCTCAGTGTGGTAGGTGCACCTGGTTTTTAGGTTCCTTGTAACTAAATAATTTCCCGGAATCCCTAATCTACCAAATATCTTCAATACTTGTTCAAAGTATGAGAGAACTGATAGAACGTTAAGCCTGTGGAATCATCTCCTTATTCAAAATACAAATCTTTAATGCTCCTTGCTTTTTCAGCAATTCTCCATCGATTACCTCCTAAAGTTGGGAGCTCCTCCTGAGAAACTGGTGATGGGTCTGCCCTTCTACGGACGGACCTTCAAGACGGTGGCCGAAGGCAACCTGAACGACGTGAGCGACGGGATTGGCTTCAAGGGACCGTACACCCGGGAGGACGGCTTCCTGGGCTACAACGAGATCTGCCAGACGGTGAGCAACCAGACCTCGGGATGGACGCGCGAGTGGGATCCACAGACTAGCCAGGTGCTGGCCAAGTCCGAGCGGAACATCTTCACCCAGGAGATCAACGTGGTGACCTACGACAGCTCCCGCTCGATTGCCAACAAGGTGCTCTTCGCCATGTCCAAGCGACTGGCGGGAGTGATGGTGTGGTCCGTGGACACGGACGACTTCCTGGGCAACTGCAAGCTGGACGAGGACACCTACGAGGACTTCCGCAAGGTGTCCGCAGCGCCCAAGCGGGTGAGCCTGAACTATCCCCTGCTCAGGACCATCAATGAGGCCACCGTGCTCTCCGTCGAGGAGCTGGCTGTTCCAGAACCGCCGCCAGATGACTCCGAGAACGAGATTCCACACGGAAGCCCTGCGGATCGGAGGAACCCCGGAGCTTCGGTGGTCAGTTTGGGCCTGGGAATCACCGCCGTCTTCATGCTACTGCACCGGATGTCCCAGTGACCCAGTGAGGAGTTGGGTCTGGAGTAGTCTAAGAAACACATCACCTTGTTCACGTAGTCATTAAAGTCCAAATTGTAATTCATAAGACAAATCTAAGTTTTTCATTGATATTGGCAGAGGTCCTAAAAGGTTGATCATTGAATCTCTTCGAGCTCCCATTAATAAGGTCATCGATGTTTTGTTAAAATGTTTTGGTTATACTTGGTGTAGTACTTCTTTAATAAATTTAACTGGCGCTCTAACATTTAACTAACTAGTCATATATTTGTATATGTATATGGGTGTGTGTATACGCAACTATGTAAATACGCAGGTAAATATAACATAATTTGTATATAATATCCATAGATTATCATTGCTACAAGTTGTCAACATTCAATTCAATGCTACCATATGTGTTAAGTAATATATAATATATACTCGTAAGTGTTCTATGCAAACTATGCAAAGGATATCGCGTAAAGTAGTTAAAGCAAGGATTCGGCCCCCAGGACCTTCGATAGTTGGGAGAGAGGATATTTCGTAGAATAGAATAGAGTTTCCTTTTTGGATGGCAAACATTACAAATGCGACGATCGTAAACCAAAGGTGGCTCAGGTTGGGCAGTGATGGGAGGTATTCCGGATACAAAAACGATTCCTATATCATATGATAAATCAGAGGATTCAACTGTCCCATCACCGATCCTTAGAGAATGTAATGAAGGTGAAACCGCTGCTAGACAAACACTTCCTGGTCGTCGGTGCCTCACAAGCGACCTCCGTCCGAGGACCAGTCGGACCGCTCGGCTCCGCTGCCGTAGATGTCCTGCAGCTGCTCCCGCGACCGCGTCTTCGACTTGGACTTGTGCTTGGCCTGCTGCGACCGCTGCAGCTGGTAGGGATTCGGGTTGCCCCGGTCGTTGATCACCTCGTAGTGCGAGTCGCCGCCTCCTACGCCGCCGGCCGAGGAGCCCCGGCCATCCACTCCGGCGATGAGCAGCTCGTGGATGTTCTTCGTAGAGCGGCGGTGCGCCTCCAGGCACTGCGACTCCGAGGAGTAGGGGAACGAGGCCACGAAGCTGGGCGACTGCTGACCCGTCGGGCCCGGCGGATCACTGGCAAAGTTCGCCGGCGGCGGCAGGGGAAGATTACCGCCGCAGGGCGTCGAGGGCGAGAGGTCGGTGAACTCCGTCTTGGCCTCCGACTCCACGGAGCACATGCTCTGGCGCGAGATCTCCTTCTGCAGCTGCTGCGCCTGCTGCTGCTGCTCCTTCAGCGTGGGCATGTTCAGGTTGGAGCTCTCGTAGTCGTCCTCCCTCCTCGTCTGCGGAATGGGCAGCCGACTCCGGACGGAGTGCTCCCTGCCCCGCCCGAACCGCTGTGCCAGGTAATCCTCGTTGGCATTGGCGTTGGCGTTCCCGTTGCTCTGCCCGCTGCTGTGGCTGCAGTTGCTGTGCTGGTGCTGGTGGTGGTGGTGGTGCCCCTGGTGATTCTGGTGTCCCTGGTGATTCTGGTGTCGCTGGGCATTGTCGTAGTAGCTGTCGTTCTTCACGGACATGTTGCAGCAGCTGCTCACGTCGGCGAAGTAGACCTCCGACTCGGCCGGATCCGTTCCCATCGCCTGATCCTTGGCTATCGCTCCGTTGGAGTCCTGGTAGCCACTGTTCTCCACTCCGGCTGTCTGCGGCTGCGCCTGCTGCGGATTCACCTGCGCCGCCTGCTGCTCCTGCTTGGCGAACAGCTGCTGGACATTGGGCCGCTGGTGCTGGCCGGGATTGCTCTGCGGACCGATGCTCTTGGCCCCCGTTCCAGCCTCCAGTCGCTTCTTCAGCTTCCTGGTGGGCAGGGTGTTCGAGCAGCGCTCCCTCTCCCGGGGATTCCCCCGTCGCTGTCCGACGGCGTGTTCTCGTACTCCGCCTTGGACTTGTAGGCAGAGGAGCGGGTGGCCGCCACCAGAGTGCTGACATTGCCCGCACTGCTGAGTCCATCCATGCGCTCCAACGTGGCGGACTGCACCTGCAGCCTTTGTAGCTGCATCTGCTGCAGTTGCTGCTGCTGCTGCGGATGCTGCAGGTTCGGGTGCATCTGCTCTTGGGCCAGGGTGACGGCCACGGCGCCCGGGTTGCCCACCAGACAGGCCGTGGGCTGCAGATACTGGTAGTAGCCCCGCCTCGCCGGACTGTTGGGATCGCTGTACGGCGGCGGAGGACCCCAAACGCCGTAGGGCAGGGCATTTGGTGGGGGCATCCCGCTGTAGGCGGTGGCCACCACGGGCTCCTCTATCAGCATCTGGTTGCCGTCGCCCTGCACCGCCGTGGACGAACTGAATCCGTACTGCGAGTCCGGACTGGCGGCCGCCTGACGGAACCTGCGTCCCGTGTCCGGAGTGGTTCGCTGCCAGGGCATTCGCGGCCAGCTCCAGCCGCTGCTGCTGCGTCCCGCTCCGCGCTCTCCACTGCGGCAGGTGCCCACCGCATCCTCGCCCCCGGGATTCGGCGAGTAGAAGTTGCCCGGCGGCTGGGCGGTCCAGAAGCGCTGCTCCCCGCCTCCTCCTCCGGCAGCTGCGGCTGCGGCGGCCACCGTGGCCTCGTCCCACGGATACCCGGTGGCCTGCAGCGGCAGGGTCAGTTGCCTGTGGGCGTGGCACTGCTCGCAACAGCGACAGTTCAACATCCTGCCGGGACCCAAGGCCGGCGGAGGAGCCTGACTGGCGTACAGGGATCTGCAGCGCAGCTCCAGCTGCTCCCAGTACATCTTCTTGCGCTCGTGGCTGAGCAGCTGGTACACCAGCATGCAGCTGAAGACGGCTATCAGGACTCCGGCAACGGAGAGGCCGAAGATGGCCCTCAGGCAGGAGTAGAGAGATCCGTGAACGACACCGCAATCCGAAAGGGAGTCGAACACCAGGCGCACTCCTTCTGAAAAGCAATGGTGGCAGGGGATTAGACAAGATTACTTCCGCATTAGGGTTCCAACTCACCCTTATCCACTCGATCCACCTGGGATTCAATAAGATCCGAGTAGCAGGTGCAGGTCCTCGTCTTCTGGGCATATTCGCATTCCCTCAGAGCCTGCAGGCGACTCATGTGGAGCACAGTGGTGGTCACGGTGACCAAGGCGCAGGTTAAGGCGGATACCAGGCCACAAGCTCCAGAAAGCTTTATCTGCAAGGAGTTTCCAGTGTATTAAATAATGGTTCATAGAAGTAAAGGCATTTTCCTTACCAAGTAACTATAGCGATTGCGACGCCTAGCCAGGCTCATGATGCAGATTCCCGTGAGGATGAGGAGGGTGGCGGGCACGAATGTGGGCACCGTTTCGAAGTTGCCCACCGTAATGGTGTAGGAATGGAGCAGGAAGTAGACGCCCAGGAAGAGCACGCCCAGCAGGCAACTGAAGCCGCCGCAGATGAGGCACCAGACCACGTACTTCTTGATCCCAGCTCCATGGCGATGTGCTGCAATTGAGAAATAAAAAATCCATTAAATTCAAATTGAGAACAGTAAGGTTCCAATCCCAACCAGAGCCGCGGTGGTGGCCATCCACGTTCCCGGCGGAGGGCGGCGGAGCTGGCACCCAGGAGCAGGGCGGGGGCATGCTGTACTGCACGAACTGCATCACCGGATAGCCGTGCATATTGACTAGATTCGTTGGCTGCTTTCAGAGGGAAAAGTGACCAACAATGGGCTGAACTATCTCCTAGGAACACATCCTGGTTAGGATGGCTCGGTGAACTGCTGGAAATTCCGGAACACGTTTTCCTCCGCGCTTTTCACTCTTTCTCCCCCGTTTTGCGTTTTTCTCCGCAGCGAAACAGAAAAATATCTACACAGCCGCGGAAGCTGGCTGAGATGCGGGGATGTGGCGATGGGTGGAGATGTGGGGCTTCCACGGGCAGCTGCGCGGACTTGGGCCAGTGGAGTGGGGTCCTGGGTGGCGGATGCTGGATGCTGGATATCGGAGATAGACAGAAGCTGAAGGCGGCGACGCCACTGTGTGCGTTGCAATTACAGGAACGGTGTCAACTGAAATCCCGACTGACATTAGCAAAGCGCCAACCCCCCGAGCAAATATTTTGCACCAGCTCCAGGAGAAATGGAGAGTTCGAGAGAGGAGAGCAGAGAGCAGGGTCCTTCGGCGCAGGCGCAGGATTTGCGGATGAGGAAGTCACGGACAAAGGAAGCTGCGCCCGCAGTGGGTGGAAAATCAGTGACTGATACCAAGTGAATAGGCAAAACTGTGATTTGTGGAGTGGGAACGACAGCACTGATGGATAATCAGTAAAAAATTATAAAACAAATAATGCAACACCCTTTCAGAAGCTCGAGTATTTTCTATCTCTTGTGTTGCCATGGTTTAGTTTAAAACATTTCGTTCTCCAATAGTTAAAAGATACCTAAGTTATAATTAAACTGCAATTATACATTGGATTTGTTGGGCCATAAAAAGCATATAAAGTTTGCTTTTTGCTTTGCCCGTATTTATTCTTCAAAAGTGATTCATTGCAATCTGTATTATGCAACACTTTGTTGGAAAATATTTGCAATATTCTTTCTTTGCAGATGCAAACAAGTCAGCAAGCAAGAATTTCTATTAGAAACTTCGTTGGAAATAAAAGTATTAAACATTGTAAATGATTTGGAAATCTTTTTGTGACAGGGAATCCCCTTAAATCTAAATTCACTTTATATTTTATGAGAACCCGAATTAAAACCACCTACGTACCTATAGAACCATTTGCATTACTCCTTGGTCTGGGCGGTGGGCGTGGCGGGAGCGGAGGACGATTGTCATCCAGGATTGGGGACTTGATACCCGAACCATTGGAAGCAGTGATTGCTCCACCTGCGCCATCCAACTCCGTGTCGTGGTAGATATCGTTGCAACTATCAACGGTGGGCTGGGTCTTCGGCGGAAGTTGACCTGCTCCTCCGCCGGATCGGGGTTTCTTCTTCTTGATCATGGTGCTATTGTTGTCTGACTCACTGACCGTGATCTCGTCGGCTCCCAACATGGCATCCGCCAGCAGACTCCTCTTGTGCTGCGCCAGCGAGGAGTTTCCCCCAGTGGCTGGACAGGTGCACTCCAGATCGCAGTCACAGCTGCCGGCTCCAGCCGAGGAGTCCAGTTGGAGCTGATCCTGCTGATGGGGCTGCTGCTGATCCTCGTGGAGCGCCTGGTAGGAGTGGTTGAGCAGGGATTGGGCGGACTGGGTTTTGAGGGGGGAAACCCTCGTCAGTTCCTGCTGACTGGGAGTTTGTTGGTGGACCAGCACGGCCACGGCCATCGAGGCATTCTGTCCGGGATGCGTGGGCTGCGGCGGCAGAGGAGCAGGTGCCCTTCCACAGGAGCAGGGGCACTGGCAGGCCAGCTGTTGTTGCTGCTGTTGTTGGGGTTGTTGCTCCAACTGGAGCTGCTGCTGCTGCTGCTGCGGCTGGAAGTGCGCCGGATATTGGATGTAATGATAGTGATGAGCCATTAGTTGGCCAGGCGGAGCAGCTGAATGCTCCCGACCAAGACTGGATTCCGAGGCGACACGTTGCAAGGATGCCGACGCATTTGTTGTTGCTGCTGCTGCTGTTGTTGTTGTTGTCGGTGGCAACTCCATGTTGTCCGAGAACCGGTTTGACCCTTTAACTTCCACTTTTAGCGATCACTTATGCTGCACACTCATTTTTTTACTGGTTTCCAGCTCGCGGGTCTCACGCTTCTAAAACCAAAGTCCGATAAATTGGCCGAATTTATTGCTAATTCTGCAATATTTCGCCTGTATATATAAATATCGGATTAACATAAACAAGCCACAGCACACTCGAAAAAACAGAAGACGCCGCCGCGGACTTGGGGAGATTTGCAGAGAGTGGGGATCAACCGACAAACCGAGCTCGCAACTCAAACGCAACTGAGAGGCGATTCTGGTCTTCGATAGCACTCAGATCATTTCGAACTTTGCAGATCGAACTTACACTGGAAAAAAATAGTGGTCGAACGAATAAAGTACGAGAAGAGGTATGAAATGTTAGAGATTTACTGGTTTATATGTTAATAAAAATATATTATAATATATTTTATTAACAAAATCTGTTTTAATAAGACTAATTATGAATTTAGAAATCTTGCTTCTTTCAGTGCAGATGTTCGAAGCGACTTGCAACTGACACCCACACATTGGAACCAACTCCAACTTCACTTCGGAGTTGTTACCTGTGTGTGCGTGTGTGTTGCGCGCGCTTCAACTTCAAACGAATTCCGGTTCTAGTTGTTGTTTTTACTGCACTGATTCAGAAAAATCTTGAAGACGAACAGGGAAAATCAATTTCTTTGTTGTTGCCAAAGGTGAGCATTTGTTTTCGTTACCTTACCTTTTCTCCTTCTGAGCGACTACCTGGATAAACACCAGCAACAAAAACAACCACTTGTTGTTGTTCGCAACCTGCACATCAGAATCTGTGTGAGAACCCATATTTATACTAACTCATAAATATGTATGTATGTGTGTGTTTGTGTTGGGGTAATCGGTAGATCCCATTTAAATGGGATCCCAGCTGAAACACGTACGGTGGATACTAGCTAATATTGAATGATTTCGATAGGGGCGTGGAAATGGATCTATGAGGATCTCGAATTTAAAGGTTAATTGACAAAAGCCTTCTAACCTTTTTGAAGGGTGTCTTCGGGTTTCCCCCGTAAATAGTTTTCCCTCAGTGGGTGTTCTTCTCAGGTATTTCTATATTGATTTGATAAGGTATTGTGTGCCAGTTTAAACAACCAAATATTTATTGATAACATTACAAGCGTGAAGTAATTATTTTTATAGGCCCATATCTTGATTTCATAAAACCATAAACTTCTAAAAGTTTACAATCTATAAAAGATGATTGTAACCAGTTTCGGAATTGTTTTACAAAGTGCCATAGGTTTTATTAAAAGATAAAAGTCACGCGACTGATCTTATGGCTTTTTTAAAATTTCTTATTTTAAAGATATTTTAGAAATGAGAACGAGACTTTAAATTTCATAACCACCACTAAAGAAAACCTAATTAGTCTGGTTGAGTACCATCTATTTTAGTAACTTGATATCTCCGGACCTTCTATCGGACACACCTTGGTGTTAAAATCGTTTTGATACCGCCTCCTTTGACCACAAAGCACACACCCACCTGCTATTAATCAATCGATTAGCAGTCATATTTAACTGATACCCAACATTTCCGTTTCATGATAACGCACCTGATATTAGAATACGCCTCACCTTAAGTGAGATAAGTGGCCATACTCTAGGTGGGGTATATATGTTGTGGTTATTATTATCTAATGTACACCTCGTATGTTTGTTAAATTCAACCCTTAAAAGCATTTTATTAGGACACCCGATAAAGACATCTACAAGATTTCTTGAGCTATCGCTCTAAAAATATTTCATTGACGCACAGCGTATTCCATCTTCGACTTCTTGCACCTTGTTTTCTTATTATGTCGCTAAACCGTGTCGCCGTAATCAGTGACCGAGCAAATATTGCACTGAAGTTCCTGGTAAATCGCAATAAGACGCCAGGTTTTCGATTCGTATTATTTCTGTTTATTGTTAAAGGGGCGTAATCACTACATATACATACGAGCACGGAACCTACTTAAATTAGAAATGTCGTTTGCACTTTGGCTATATACAATTCTGCTGATATGACCGTGCGTGGAGCTCGGCCAAGCAGCCGTCGTCGATGGAACTACGTATAGGACGTACAGAATATGCAACGGAAACACGTTAATATAGATACAGGTTACTTAAAGTAGGTCGGAGCTTAGTCCAGAGACTGGTCTTGGTCGGCTCTTCGTAGGCAACTATTTACAGGGTTTAAAGCACGTTCAACCACCCTTGTCCTTTGAGGACTATTTACAGTGCGGATAAGTAATAGTATCACAACCGAGAATCGGTACGCACGTCAGGCGGCAATCCTTCTGGTCAGGGGTCATCCTTACTGGCCACTGGCGGCGAGGGAGTGCACCAGCATGGCGAAGCTGCTGATGAGGAAGATGCTCGCCGGCAGCGAGGACAGCATGCGGTAGTTCTCCTCCGTGTGCTCGCGCGTCTTCTTCTGCTTGATCACCCATCCCAAGCTGCGCTCCACCGCCCGCTTCCACTTGCCGTACCGCTCCTTGCGCTCCACCTCCGTGGTGGTGGCCAGGAAGGTGTCGTAGTGCACGTTCTCGTAGTACCGCTTCTCGGGCTCGAATTGGCAGAGATTCACCCCGTCCGCTTGGGCGGCGCACATGGCAGCGCCGAAGGCCGTGGAGTCCATCAGCTGTGACCGGAACACCGGCAGCCCAATGGTGTCCGCCTGGAGCTGCATCAGCAGATTGTTTGTGGTGAGCTTGCCATCGGCGTGCAGCTTGTTGATCTCATAGCCGCACTCCTGGTGCATGCACTCCAGGATATCGCGGGTCTGGAAGCAGATGCTCTCCAGGGCAGCCCTCACTATGTGGTTCTTTCGGGTGAACTGCGTCAGCCCAATGATGATGCCACGGGCATTCTGCCGCCAATAGGGAGCGTACAGTCCTGTAAAGGCGGGCACGAAGTACACATCACCCGATGTGGGCACCACCTCTGCAAACTTCTCGGCATCCCTGGAGTCCGGCAGGATGCGCACCTTGGTCTGCAGCCAGGACAGCGCATGTCCGGCCACCGAAACCGCTCCCTCGATGGCGTAGATCGTCGGTGCATGGGGACCCAGCTTGTACGCCACGGTGGTCAGTAGTCCGTGCCGCGAGAATACGGGCTTGTCACCCGTATTGCAGAGCAGAAAACAACCGGAGCGGTAGGTGTTCTTCGTCTGGCCAGGCTTCACGCACATTTGGCCCAGCAACGAGGCCTGCTGATTGCCCATGATTCCGCTCAAAGTCATTCCACGCAGCGGACTTCTTTCTGAGGTGATTTTGCCAAACACCTCCGAGCAGCTGTGGATGGCGGGCAGCATGTCCTCCTTGATGCCGAACGTCTTGAGCAGCACAGGGTCCCAGTTTTGGGTCTCCAGATTCATGAGCAGCGTGCGGGAGGCGTTGGTCACGTCCGTGATATGAAGAGCGCCTGGGGAGTTGAAAAACGATGTATAGTTAGGATTATACTCATAAATTGATCAGTAAAATGACCCACCATTTGTCAAATTCCAGACAATCCAGCTGTCGACTGTGCCCGCCTTGCACCTCTTTTCCCGAATGGCCTGTCGCACCTCGGGCACATTGTCCCTCAGCCAGCGGATCTTCAGGGCCGAGAAGTACGTGGAGATGGGCAGACCTGTGATGCTGCGGAAGTGGTTCGGGTCCTGCACCTTGGCCACGATCTGCTCCACTGTCGTGCTGGTGCGGATATCCTTCCACAGGAGTGCATTGTACAGGGGCTTGCCGGTGACCGCATCCCAAACGATCGTGGTCTCTCGCTGGTTGGTGATGCCCACGGTGGCGAGGTCGCTGGCGGAGAACCCGTGCTCGGGCAGCTGCTTGATGGCCTCCTCGGCGCACTTGTTGATGGAGGCCATGATCTCCAGCGGATCCTGCTCGTACCAGCCATCCTGGGGCGTTATGACGCTCAGTTCCACGCGGTGGGCGGCGATCTCCTTGAAGTCGGGCGTGGTGTAGATGGAGAAGCCAATGGTCTTGGTGCCCTCATCGATGACTCCGACCAGGCCGGTGTGCTGGATGAGCGACTGCTTTCGCAGCTCCTTGCTGCGGAACGGAACATCGGCGCTGGAGTGGGGTAAGTTCTTGCCCTCGGTCATGCTGCCTAAAAAGGTGGAAAACCGATTAGATAAGCCAGGCATTCTTGCGAAACTATTACTTAATTACTTAAATGGTTTTGTGAAATTGGACAATTTTGGAGGATGATTGGGCTATTTTTTCATTTTATTTATAACTATACCAACAGCTTACAAGAACAAGCCATTTGTATTAAGTTGTTGGGTGTATCTATTCTTTCTTTCGGAACAGCAAAACACTACAATACAAGCGAACGAAATATTCAAGTTAATTCTTTTGGAGGTCCAACCAAAATTTCAAAAAACAATAGTCATAAAATGATTTCACGATAAGGCTATAAAAAACAACCATAGATACGGATCTGCCGGATAAACACTCCCTCACTTGTTTTCAACAACCAAGTTCTATATTTGCCATTCACACTTCCATGGGGACATCATGTTCCTGCTGAGCGATATGATCTCAAATGGACTTGTGTATATTGTACTCGAACACTTGTTTGGCCGCTGTTGACTTTGTACCCGCTTGGCTTGTTGGGGGGCTGGATTCCCATTCCGAATCTAATGGTCGAGCCCTCTTTCAACTCGCACACAGAAACACATGTTGACACCAACAACTTATCGCTTGGAATTGGTGCTTCGCCTCTCTGAATGGAGCCCAGAAAGTCGAATACATAAATTATGGTAAACTGTCGTGATTGCGGACCCTGCGACAAGGTCAAGTGTTCGGAAAAAGATAAGACCCTTGTGATTGAGTGCACTGAGTGATTTGCCAATCTACGTATGTAAATGTATTTCACCGGTAAACTGATTAAGATTTTCGTTAGAAAACTTTCCACAGTTTCCCCGTTTTCCGGACTCATCCGGTATCAGGTTGAATAAGATGCCGACACTGTTAAAGTTCTCAAAGTTTTATGTTATTTTTTTTATGGCTGTGTACTTTTGTTAAGCACTGTCTTCTGATAAGGGACTATCGATACACGGACCATAAACTGTTATGTTACCAGAAATTGTAGATAAGATATGGAAGCACTTTTTCAGTGGGCTGATCGACCAATATTTGCCCACCCACTTGCGGGGAACACTCAAATAAACCCGGTAAAAAACCAAAAACCATCAAGGAATTACAAGGGATAATTTACGATAGCTGTAATTACAAGAGAGAATTTGCGATAAATCTAAAATAACTTCGATTGCAAGGGATAATCTACGATGACTGCGATTAATGATGTTTGATGATATGTTTGACATTGTAGAGTCGCTTCCTCACTTTAAATATTCGATTGTTGTTTATGGCTGCTGATAACACTTGTTTAAATATTTTTAAATTTAAAAGAGAGCGCCGGAGGAAAGTTTGAAGCGAAAGAGCGGGGAACCGATCGAGTGAATAAAACAGAGCGCGACAAATAATAACACAACCGACCGCGGCGAGCGCCAAAATGTATCTGAAAGTCGAAAATCAAACGATTCGAAGGCGCGGCAGCGCATTGGAAATGACCGTACGTAGAAAGCTTTTAGTTCGGCCAGTTGTTGGATGTGTGGGTGTATTCGGATGGGGCAAATCGGTGACTTTACGAATTTACTACCTACTACTACCCATCTACCCATCGACAGGCCGAACGGAATGGGCAGTAGCAACAACATCGGCTGATAAGACAAGCCGGCTAAAGAGCACCGATGTCTGGGTCGGTGGGTGGATTAGGGGGTCGATTGGGCGGTGGTGGCTGGGTGGGTTGGTGGGGGCGGTGTAGAGGCTTCTCGGTGCAATAAACTGCCAACTGGTTGCGAGACACGCCGCCAGCCTTGGCATTTAAAAACACGCATTTGCATTCGACCACAGACGGATATAACCCAATACAGTGGGGCAAGTCGCTTTGACGAAAATTTCTTTTAATTTTTACCTTTTATATAAACTTGTGCTAAGTACAATGGCAGGCACTTTACCTTTTACCAATTGCCTTTTTACTTTGGGAAGAAAAGGTACTCGTATTCAGAGACCAAATGTCAAATAAATCACGAGATGAAAAGCGTAAAAAAGCTCTCACCCATAAATCTTAAAATAGCGCAAAAAATCTGAGATTTTTTGAGAACACGTATGGGCCAACCTTAAATTCGCCCTATCAACAGTGGAAAATTACAAATATGTCTGGTTCCAATCTCAAGAATTTTCGAAAATGATAATGCTACATTAACCGTAATAGGTGAATAATACCTCATCAAACTAACATGTGACTGCCTAATGATCAGTCGAAGAAAAACTATCAAACCACTGTAAATAGTTGGGATTTCCATGGAGTGTTTACGGTTTTAGCCCCACCATGGAATGCAATAGGGATTGTTCAAGCATCTTTATAGCTACGATTTGCATAGAAGCCCGATCATTATTGCATTTATTCCCTACAATTATGCACACGTAATAATGTCTTATTTCAAGAGCGGAAATTATTCCACAAATATTATCCCACACATAAATTCTTCAACTTTTCAAAGACAATTCGTATACGCAATCTCACGTGTGGGCGTCATTCAGTTCATACTTATATGCCCAGCTATTTAAAGATACAACAAATATTAAAAATATTCCATTGGGGGGCAAACGAATAAAACAAACGTTGAATGTGCGACATCCTCAAGAGCAGGCCGCGAAATCGAAAGAAAAAAATAGAATGCAAATGATTGTATTTAAATATTTGCATCCATTAAGCGAAAAGGGGGAGTGTGTTCGTTATATAAACACGATCTAAAGGCAGACGAAACGAAGTTAATGAAATCATTTTGAGCAGCTAAAGCGACTTCATTAAAGCCAAATGTCAGTGTGAAAATATGTATGTATGCCTGTGGCATGTGTGTTGGCCCACAAACAAAAGCAATTTGGCTCGACTTGATGGCCTTAAGCAAGGAAACAACCTTTTTATTGGGGTATTTGGGAATTATGGTGATATTAGAATTTAAAAAAAAAGGCCTATAATTAATTTTTTAATTAAGTTCCATACATAAAAGTATCTTTTACATGATTTTAACTAACTTAAAATTCTTTTAAAATCCTAGGGTATTTCCAAATCGACTCAACTGTTGACCGGCTGATAATGAATTGTATTTCCTTGATGTGCAATTTTTGTTTACATGATATATAGCTGTATATATACCATGTGTGTGTGAGTATTGGTAGAACCCATTTAAGTCATCGTAAAATATCGTATTATGGGCCCGTAATTTCAGTCACAATATCAGAGTTATACTTGATGCGAACAATTTTACCAGTGCAATTTTGTCATTTGCCTTTTTTCTTTATGCTGCTTTGTTCTCTTTCGGAAATCGAGTAATTCGAGTGCAAAAAATGATTGCATAAGGGGTACAAAGGTTCACTTCAACTTATTGCACCTACATACATAATTAAAATTACGCATACGACCTGTGGACTGTATTTAGCTGCCTTATCGAGACCATATTGCATCGTATGACTAAACTTTTCACTTGAAATGATTGCAGAAATATTTGTTGCTCGTTGATAAAGCTTGTTTTTATTGCGATTGCATATTTGTTGGGTGTTCTGATGTTTCTGATGATAAGCTTTCGTTGATTGCTGTGCAAATGGGAAACTCGGAGGGTGTCGAACATGTAATGATAATATTCTATCACGTCAGGTTAAAGGTCACTCGACTAGCCAGCTTTTCAAGCGCCAGGCGTTGTCTAATCAACTAGTTCCATCTATAATAATGTACACACTTCACAAAAAGAGGTTCCTTGTAAGAGAATCACCGGCGCTTTCATTTTTTGTCAAAAGAGAAGACGCACCTCTTGTTTCTCTGTAACTTGTTGATATTTACAATTAGTTACGTAAATTGCATTTGCCAGCAGCAATATTTAAAATAAACGTCAATTTCTGCTTCCGTATGACGATCACACTGCACCGAACGCTCGCGTTTGAATGAGTTTATCTATCAAATTAGACAACAAGTCGTATAATGATCGAAGAGAGAGAGAGTTGTGGGGGGTGGAAACGTGGCGAACTCACGTGGTTTTTAAACGCAAACAAAACAAAAATCAATACTCCGACTAGACGTCGGCTGTGGTATACGTCACTAGCCGACGTCGACGTTGACGCAGCCTAGGCAGAGACGTCGGCAGCCCAGACAAGCCCCTCGAAAGCTGCATTCCGATTGGTCCAACGCCCTGATGACGTCACAACGTGCAAAAGCACAACAAAAACTACGTAACAGGCACTCAAACAATAAACATACATTTATTGACTAAACCGCAAATTCATATTAAGTTGACCAATAACCTCTTCATTAATTAACAAGTTAGTTATCTTTAATTATCAGCACATTAGGTAATAAATTCACAAAAAAAATAAACACACGTGAGTGCCGGCAAATGCAAAACTCACCCGCACTGCACTGAGCTCACTTTATTTTAAGTTGAGCTGTTTATCAAAAATAAAACTATATATTAGCCGGCATGTCAGCACACTTTATTTGCAAAAGAGACAGCATTTTATGGCCTTTCGTGCGGTTTTATCACTTTGTAACCGCAGACGAGCCTCTTTTCCATAAATTTCACAAAACACTAAAAAACACCAGATGATTGGGCGTTGCCAGATCAACAAAAATGGTTGAGCGCTATCGATTTTGATTAACCGCGCAATATTCAAATTTGAAAAGTGATTATGAAAAACATAACTTATACAATAAACCTTTTCTTTTGATTGTAACTAAAAAGAGAGTAATGCGAAGACATTTCTAGTTTGAATTTAAAAAAGGCAATACTTCTTATATAATATTTTTCAGCTTTATTAATTTAAGTAATCATATATGTTTTAAATGACTTAATCCTTTTGGTGGACTTGCAGACGACATTTAATTTCTTTTTACGAAGGGGTTTTCATTTTTAACATTGTTATCACCGAACAACAATAAAATGTAAGTAATTTTTACACTGTGCTTTTTAGTTTTGCTCGGCCACTTAGGAAGCATTTGTTACGCTAATTGTTCTAGTCCATTCCTTAACGCTATATCTATTTTTTTTTTAACGCTATATCAGCCCCCAAAAAGCAAAGTTTGTTCTGGGTTTATCAGTAGCTAATAACTGCGAGGTGTGAAAAATGTTTAATTTAGTAAACAAAGCATAGATAAGAGTAGTGGGGATGGACACTGACAAAAAAGCAGGCCAAGTTGCTGGAATGTTGGTTATCCTTGATCATGTAGGGTGCTTCCCTATGACATAATCTTATCAAAATGCCACTTCTTATCATTGTAAAAGGGATCTTTGAATTCCGTAAGCTATGTCCCGATCTATTGGCGAAATACTTCATTCGTTATCAGGGACGTTTTACGTTTGAAGTTTAACGAATTTTGTGTATTTCGAGTTTAGTTTTTTGTTTTTTTTTTGAACGACCATATCTCTTGGGTTTCGATAAGTGGCGACTATCAGCAGTTAGATTAAGTGTTGGCTTTATCAGGCCGTTCGGGAGTCCAGTCGCCATGGGCAGTCCACCGACAGCGGAGCCTATTCCGCTCCCCAATTGGATTCCGGGTAACCAAACCCTCGCAGAGCGCCTGGGATTGGGACTGAGCTCCGACTGGAACTGGAGTGGCACTCTGTTCCAGAGCTGGGAGTCGCTGCTCCTGATCCTGGCCACCTTTTGGTGCGTCCTGCTGTCCCGAGTGGTGACCCAAAAGCTTCGACTTCAAGGCTCTCCCGATCTCTGCTATGCGGTGGAGTTCGTCCTGGTCATCCTGCCCTGCATTTTGCTCGTTACTGTGGCTGTGGATTATCTTCACTTCATTGGATTGGTGATGGTGGTGGTGACTATGTGGTTCCTGCGGAGGAGTAGGTTTCTGGAACGGGCTAGAACTCGCAGCCAGTTTGATCTGGGTGGCAATCGACCCATGGTCTTGTCTGTGGTCCGATCCTTAACCCACCTGATCACCGCCATCTGCATTTTGGCCATCGATTTCGGCAGTTTCTATCGGCCTTTCCGAAAGAGTCGGCAGTTTGGCGCCAAGTTGATGGACACCGGAATTGGGCTGTTTGTCTTTTCCATGGCCGTGGTGTCGAGAAGGACTCGGCATTTGTCCGATCTTCGAAGGAGTGTGGTCTACTCGGCCCTGCCGCTCATCCTTTTGGGATTGGGCCGAACCGTTTCCATTGTGACACTGGGATATGGTCAGGATCCCCACGAATACGGTCAGCACTTGAATGCCTTCTTCACCCTGGGATTAACCAAGGCTTTGGGAGCTCTGGTGAGCATTTTGGCGCGAAAGGATCTCTACTTGCTGCCTTTGGGAATTGGTAACAGATACTTATGATCTCCATTCAGAGGCGTTTAACCCATTTTCCTGCCTTCCAGGTATTTCGCTGATCCACCAGTTTGGCCTAAGTGTCCTGGGTTTATCCGAGTATGTGTTGGACGAGGATGTGGAACGCTCCAACTTGTTTAACTCAAATCGCGAGGGCCTGATTTCCCTGCCAGGATTCGTGGCCATTTACCTGATCAATATCTATGTGAATCGCTGGCTGGTGGCCAACAGCCTGTTGAGCTACTCGGAGTTGGTCAGAAAGCTGAGAGTTCTCTTCCGCGTTGCCGCAGTTTTGTGGATCTTGTTCGTCATCAGTGCCTATTGCATCGGCATCTCCAGAGTGACCTGCAATTTGGGCTATGTTATATGGATAATGGCCATTGCCACCACCTTCTTGTGGGCCACCCTTGGAGCCATCGACCTTGTGATAAATAGTGTAATGCCCTGGGAAGCGAGTCGTTTGGAGGAGCAGGAAAAGGGGCTACTAACTGGGGAAACTGCTGCCAGGGAAAGGGAAAAATCTATCGCTCCTTTTACGATCAACCAGGCTCTGAACCGGAATGGATTGACCTTCTTTCTGGTGGCCAATGTCTTAACAGGTGGCGTTAACATGCTTCTCAAGCCAGAAGATCGCTCCGATTTCGAGTCCGTGGTCATCCTGCTGGTCTACATGTTTCTCGCCACCAAATTGGTCCATGAAATGCTTAAAAGGGGAATTAGAATAGCTTGAGTTTCAGCTTGGGTGTCCTGTGATCTAATTGAATTTAATTTAATATTTAAATGCTACTATTTATGTAATATTTATTCTAAAAGTTGGTAAACGTAACTTGGTGACTAACTATAATTGCTCCCTTTTAAAAAAATACGTTATCTATATCTTTAATTGTTTGATAAGCTTGTTTAACTTGCTCAGCAATGGCAAAAAGATTAATCTTGAATTTTGTTTAGTTGATTAGGTGTCATGTTGGACAGTTAGTTCTTTATTTTATTTGATCGCAACCTTCGATTGGATTACTTTCTGAAAGTACCCCAATTAATTAAGTGCTTCTTATCATTTGACAGTAATGACAGTCTTTAATTTATAGATGATTATCATTTCCTTATAAATAATGTTTGCAATAAAAGAATTTACTCCACTGAAAATATTGGTTTTTTAAATATGTATGTATGTATATATATATTGAGTTTTGAAAGGAACCGCCAACGATAACACACAGGTGCTTCGATAGCAAAAGGTGGCAACAGGTAGTTCCTTACCTCTTACCACAAAACCAATTAAACCTTGTTATGGTCGCAAAACTGGCTTTGGCTTTGACCAGCTGGACATAAAACCCCCATCCAAACTGGAGTTTAGTCGCCATGGAAACCATTTAGTTTTGTTGCCACAGCAAATGCAGAAAAATATTTAAAAGAAACTTGATTGCAACTGCAACGCAAAGATGTTTGTGTATCTCAGCAAAAAGGTAGGCTTTGCTTTACCTTCATGTTTATTAATGGGGTTTATGAAATATTTGATGTTTCTATCTTCAGATTGCCATTCCAAATAATGTCAAGCTCAACTGCATCGCCTGGAACAAAGAGGAGGGCTACATTGCGGTGGCCGGTACAGATGGATTGCTAAAAGTCTTGAAACTTGATCAAGGTAAGAGTGTAAATCGTGGGATGTATATTATATAGTACCTACCTTTACGTACAATATAAATTATTTTTGAAATTGGATATCAATTTTAAGCTTCTCCAAATGGCCAGAGCAAAGGTGGCCTGGCCGCCGTCTCCAATCTGTCCATGAACCAAACGCTGGATGGCCACAAGGAGTCCGTGAGGGTGGTCACCTGGAACGACGCCCAGCAGAAGTTGACCTCCTCGGACACGGACGGAGTGATCATGGTGTGGATGCTCTACAAGGGCTCCTGGTACGAGGAGATGACCAACGACCGCAAAAAGTCGACGGTGGCCAGCATGAGCTGGACCTCAGATGGATCGCGGATCTGCATCGTTTACGAGGACGGAGCCATCATAGTGGGTTCTGTGGATGGCAACCGCATCTTTGGCAAGGAGCTCAAGGGCACTCATCTCACTGGTGTCCAGTGGAGTCCGGACAATCGCTTGATTCTGTTTGCTTTGGCCAACGGAGAGTGCCATCTGTACGATAACCAGGGGAACTTTGCTGTAAGTGAGGTAGATCCTTCTTAAATGTATCTCAAGTTATGTTTGTTTTTATCCAGATGAAGCTGCATATCCAGTGCGTGAGCATAAGTGGTGGTTCCTCCTCCAGAGGTCATCGGATAGCCAGCATTTGCTGGTTTAGTGGCAGGGTTCCCCAGAGCCGAAAACGACCCGTTTTGGCCATTTGCTATGAGAACGGAAGGGTGCAGATCATGAGAAACGAAAATGATGATGGTAACTACTTATTATTAAAATATTATATATAATATTATATATACTATTAAAATATTATTATAATTAAAACTAAAATTATTTGGATTTGACGCACTTGCTTTTGTAGCACCGACAATTTTCGATACCGGGATGCGAAATGTGGACGCCAAGTGGAACCACGATGGCACTGTGTTGGCCATTTGTGGCACCACTTTGGACATGGTGACTCCTCCCTCGCAGCGCGACTCCAACCAGGTGTGCTTCTACTCGCCGCTGGGCAAGATCTACCGCACCTTGAAGGTTCCTGGAAACGACATCACCTCGCTCAGCTGGGAGGGGAAATCCCTGCGCATCGCCATGGCCGTGGATTCGTTCATCTACTTCGCCAACATCCGTCCGGATTACATTTGGTGTTACTTCGAGAAGACTGTGGTGTTTCTGAATAGCGGAAATAGCTCCAGGGACTCGCCGATGAGTGTGATCACCTTCTGGAACACGGTCTCCAACCAGAGTTTCCTCAAGGAGGTGGAGCCCACACTTTGCCTGGCTTCGAGTAGTGAGCACTGCGTTTTGGGAGTGGAGTGTGTTAGCAGCAACATCAAGGAGATTGCTCTGAGCACCCTGGAGAATCGGAGTAATCCTTCGGACGATAGGGTGTATCAGCTGCTGCTCTGCAACTCCATCGGAACCACTGTGGACTGTGAGTACTACCCATTAAAAAGGGAACCATCTTTTAAACATGTTTCGTTCTTAGCCAAGTACACTGACATTAGACCCTGCTTTGTGGGCATTAACTCGAGCTATGTGGCCATAGCCTCCCAGGAGGAGATTCTTATTTGGCATTACCACACACCCAAGGTTGGTATTTGAGGTGATTAAAAATATAAACCCACTAACCCCACTTCGTTCTCTGTCCAGAGTGCCTCTACCCTCCACAATGTAAAGGCGCGCAAGGAAAAACGTTTTCACATCGATGACACGCCCACTGGAGTGGAAATGGCCAAAGATCTGATGTTGAGCAGTAGTAGTGGGGATGGTCACTCCACGCAGCGCGGAGTAAATGATCCCATCTGCGCCCTGGCCCTCTCCGAGAAGCTCCTCCTGGTGGCCAGGGAGTCGGGAGCTATCAATGAGTACAGCATTGCGAATGTGGCTCTGAGGAATCGCCACCTGATGAACTCCAAAGTTTACAAAATGGCCATTAATTGCAATTCTACGTGAGTTATATATTCTCAAAATTCTTGCCAAATAGTGTACATTGTTTGGACCCCTTTTGAAGTCGTGCTGCCATTATTGACCACATGGGAGTGATGACCCTGCTGGATTTGGATGACAACCGGGAAACCCAACTGAACTTCAGTCGAGTGGAACGCAAGGATGTGTGGGCGGTGAGTTGGGCCAAGGATAATCCACTGCTCCTGGCCTTGATGGAAAAGACTCGCATGTACATTTTCCGGGGCAACGATCCCGAGGAACCCGTCTCCTGCTCCGGCTACATTTGCACCTTTGAGGACCTAGAGGTCACCAGCGTTCTGCTGGATGACATCATCAGCGTGGGAGAGCTGCAGAACTCTTCCCATCTCATTCAGCTGAGGGTAAAGTCCCTGCGGGATACCGACGATCTGCTGGAGCACGTGGGATTGGAGGACGCCAAGCAGTTCATCGAGGACAATCCTCATCCGAGGCTCTGGCGATTGTTGGCGGAGTCGGCGCTGAAGAAACTGGAACTGGAGACGGCGGAGAATGCCTTTGTGCGGTGTGCCCACTACCCGGGCATTAAGTTGGTCAAGAGGCTGCGCACCATTCACTCCAACGAGCTCCAAAGGGCCGAGATCTCGGCCTTCTACGGGGAGTTTGAGGAGGCGGAGAAGCTGTATCTGGACGCAGATCGTCGGGACTTGGCCATAGAGCTGCGAATGACCCTCTGCGATTGGTTCAGAGTGGTGCAGCTGTACAGGATGGGTGGATCCGGGGTGTCTGACCAGCAGATGGAGATTGCCTGGCGGGAGATTGGCCACCACTTCGCGAACCTCCGATCCTGGGAGAGTGCCAGGGAGTACTACGAGAAGTCCCACTACCTGGAGGGCTACATGGAGGCGCTCTACCATCTGGAGCAGTTCGATGATCTGGAGAAGTGCGTGGAAAGGCTGCCGGAGAAGAGCCCCCTGCTGCCGAAGCTGGCCGAGATGCTGGCCTCCGTGGGCATGTGCTCCGAGGCGGTTCAAGCCCATCTGCGATTCGGGGACCAGAAGGCCGCCGTCGCCACTTGCGTGAACCTGCGTCAGTGGGGCGAGGCGGTGGAACTGGCTCAGAGATTCCAGCTGCCTCAGGTGCAAACCTTGATTGCCAAGCACGCGGCGCAGCTGCTCCAGGAGGGACGGCTCAAGGAGGCCATCGAGATGCAGCGGAACGCAGGACGTCACCTGGACGCAGCTCGCCTGCTCTCGCAGATGGCGGAAAGGGAGCAGGAGAGGCGCGCTCCGCTGCTGCGGATCAAGAAGCTCTATGTCCTGGCTGCTCTTCTGGCGGAGGAGCACCTTAAGGCGGTGGCCACGCCGGAGATCGATTACGCCAGCGGAAGAAACACCCTCCTGGACTCCATTGCTCTGGAGGATGCGGCGGCCATCGAAAGACTCTGGCACTGCTCGGAGGCCTACCACTTTATGCTGCTGGCCCAGAGGCAACTCCGCTTTGGAATCATCCACAGTGCGGTGATCACGGCGGTGAGGCTGCGGGACTACGAGGACGTACTGCCCCCAGAGCACATCTACAGCCTGTTGGCTCTGGCCAGCTGTGCGGATCGGGCCTTCGGCACCTGCTCCAAGGCCTTCATGAGGCTGGAGCAGCTGAGTCACCTGCCGGAGGAGACTCTCAAAAGGTACGAGGAGCTGGCAGCAGGAATATTTGCCAAGTACGAACCGGAGGACACCGCTGGCGAGAGGGTGGATTGCTACTCCTGCGGAGTTCCAGTGCCGGACAGGTGAGAATAGAAGTGATCAGAATCACGGAAACCTTCTTGAAACGAATGGGTTACCTACCTTTTAAGCTCGCCCGCCTGCCCGGAGTGCAATGCGCGTTTCCCGGCCTGTATATCCTCCGGAAAGCCGATCACCCAGCCCACTAACAACATCTGGATCTGCACCACCTGCCACCACTGTGCTGCTCCCACCGAGATCTCGCGGCATCGCACATGCCCACTGTGCCACAGTTTAATTGTGTCCATGACTGTGGAAATCTGAGTTAACTAAAAATAAGTGCAATATGTTTACGATTTTTAGTAGTAGGACTTATCAGGTTAATTAAAAAGGACCTTTTCGGCCTCGGCAAGAAGCCATGTATTAAAAATATAACGTTCACAACAAATTTAAATTTTGAATAAACTAGAAAAATAACGATGTAGTGTCATCAGAGCATAATAGTATTTTTTTTTAGAAATGAGCTTAGGTCACACTATTGGTCTTCCCAACAGTCTATGGACGGTCACACTGGCGAGTGCAAGAAAGACGAACGGGTGCACCGCGTATCGCTCAATTTTAATAAATTAAATTAATTCTTGCTCCAAGCATGTGTGCGTTCGGTAACAAAGTAAATATAATTTACTGTGCTTGCAAAAACGAAACCAGCTCCAATTGAGCGAAGGAAATAATTTAAGTGCGTTGCGGGTTTAAGAATTGCGTTGTTGTGCGTTGTCTTTGTTGTTTTTATTGTTCGTGTTGTCGGGTTGTCTTCACCAAAATGTTTTGTGTTATTCAAAGCGGTAACAGATAAATTGCTAAACACTCTTAACTGCAAAAGAGTGTCAAAATAACGAATTTCGCGAAACGAAAACGAGTTTTTGTGAATGTTGAAAAATCCAAACAATACGCGAGTATATGTTTGATCATATGTACATACGTATAAACTGTTTTGTAAGCATTTAAAAATACCCTCAAAAAGTGTTTTACGTCCAAATCTATGGCCACGAATTGTGAAATTTCGTCAACGTGTAAATTGAGTGGAATGCAGGGATTGATTTAATGTTGAGTGCATTCTTCGGCGTTTGTTTTGAGTGAGAACATAACCAGTTTTCAAACCACTTGTAAAGGTAGGATTTAACCCCATTATGGACTATATTATACTGCTTTAGTCATTCTTTTATTGTGTTAAAAATAAGTCGTGTGTTAATTTGTTCCAAATTTGTCTGGACTTTAGGAAAGTTCCAGCTTGTCTCTCACTTTTCTTTCGCCCCCTCTCTTTCTCTTATTCGCGGTTTGTTTATGGCCGTTGTGTATGTGTGTGCGTCTCAATTAGCTTTTATTACGCGCACACACAGAACAGTTAAACCTGTTCTGGTTTCTCTTTCACACACTTTTATGGCCTTTCTTTAGCTTTTGGTTTTTGCGAATTCTCCTTCGTATCTTTGAATCTTTTGAGAAGAAACAATCGTCCAAACTGATGAAATTATCTTTCATTGCATCTTCCATCCCCCGGCAACCCGCATAGTCAACTTCCAGTTTCCAGATTGCAGCTTCCAGCTGGCTGAGCAACAAAAACAATTACAACAACATTAAACAACACAGAGCCACCATACACACTTCACAAAAACTATTTGTAACGCACACAGATACAGCTGTTCTAATGACACCCAGAATTAGATCCATAACTAAAAAAAAATAACGTTTTTATTTGTTAGGAGCGGTAGTAATTATGGCTAACAACGAGTATATAATTAACATACTTCTACTTAAATTGAAATAGTAGGTACTAATAATCATTTTTGACATTCTAAAAGATTGATTCAGTTATGAGATACGAACAATTAATTAATTCATTTTAAATTTGTATGCGGTGTGACTTGGAAGTTTGCCTAAACGGCTCTTCCTTAAAAAATCCCAAGCCCTCCGGAGGATTCTCTATGTTCCCAAACTGTCAGCTTGTTGAAATACAATCTAAATTATGCACACACAGATACATACATACATACATATGTGATGAGTGTGAATTTGTGTTTTTTGCCGACAACTCATAGTCGTATCAAAACAGTTCTTTCAGTCATTTCCTTTCAATTTAAATAATGGGGAATCCCATGAAAGTAAAATAATTGTGCATTGGAAAATCCAATTTAAATAAATTTTGTGAATAAAATAAAAAAAAAGTAAACCAATAAAAAAATGTAATTTTTATGGTAGTTACGCATTTCCTTTTTTTAAGATAAGCATTAATTTTTAAGAAAAATTGTTGACGATTGTGTTGTTTTCTTAATAAGTCTTTTTTCAACACAATATCATACCAACCAAGCGATTCTCAGCTTAATAATTCCGACATTGACAATGGAACTTGATCATTATTATCATACGTGATTCGATGAACGATGACGCCTGCTTAGGACATGAGCTTAAAAGTGCAATGCACAGCAAAAAATCTCCACAGCACTCGGAGGAGTGCTTTTCACCCCTTTATTTATCAAAATATACACATACGTATGAACAGCTGTATGTACATGTGTAGAGGTCTGTTCAGATTCCTTATAAAGTCTGACATTGCTGTCACCGTAATTACACAGCTTTATTGATAATACTGGGTGGAGTGTGAAGGAGTGGCTACCGGGGAACATGGAAAGGAAGCCTCTGCTCGTAGCTCCTATCCGACAGCCGCCTGAGAGAAACCCGTCAGTCAGTTTTTTTCGCTATGATTAAAACAGTTCTCTGCCCCTCCATCTTGCCCTTCCATTCTCAGGGGGCTTGCATTATCCAACATTGCTTTGCTTTCTCCGTATTGTTGCAAGTGCAGTTTCTGTTAATGATTATGCAAAGTTCTACATTACACGGTGTGGGTGCCTTTCCTCTAGAAAAATATACAAATGTTCTCTTGGTTTTCAATTGAAAACCTGCTGCTTGAATTTCTCTAGGAAGCTTCTGGCTGGAACCAAATTCGAGTCAGAAATCGGAGCTTCATCGCTAATTGGCCAATGCAAACAGAGGAACTGAGTGTGGACTCACCTGTGAAATGAGCACATTTTCGCCTAAACAGCTAAAAATACTGTCAGTGCTGCTGACGTGGCCAATAATTTTTGCTTTTTTGTACATACCTATATTTTTTGTCACATGCACGTTAAACCACTTACTTTAAAGTGGAAATTATATTGTCATTCTACAGTTTATTAAAGTGTGTTTGCCTTATGTTTTCATTAAACTGTTCACTGAAAGATTTAATTAACTAAACATCATGTTGGACCCATTTCAAAGTCAAACTATAGAGTTCATAGAGAACAAAGTAAAATATCTTCCACTATAGGGTTAAGCATTTGGAATTGATTCTGAAGCAAACTAGACGTTCAGATCGTATATTATTTTTGTAGTTGTTTATTTTAAATAAGTCTTATCAGCAGACCAAGGCGTTGAATTGCCAACTGGATATAAAACATTTGCGTTTCTGTTATTGGAGATGGTTCCTTCAGTACATTCGACTTTGATTTCACTATCCAAAGTACGACTCAAGTGAACAATAATATTTACATATATGAAGCGGCAGGCTACAATCGTTGTTTAATAATTATAAAGTGCGCAGAATGGAAACAGTGGATACGTCTTGAGATTGCCTTCCCTTTTCCACATGATAATGATGACATGTGCGCCAAATCCAGATGTTTTGCAAACAAAAAATGTTCAAAAAATTCCAGAAATTGAAATTTGGAAAATAAGATGTTTTTAAAATTTCTAATATTTTCATTGCCCCTACTCTTACTTATTGTTAACATTTCTAATTAGGGCGCTTAAATTCCTGATTTCTGAAAAATATACTTTATGTTGATTTTTAAATTGCTAGTAAAATGTACGTCATAAGATAAAATCCAATTGAGTTCTGCTCATCTTTATAAAAGAGCATTCTTTTTAATTTCTATTTAGTCAAAGAATGCATTCCACACAGCTTTTCCATGATCCACTTCAAGGTAATTTCCTTTTATTTTCATCATCAAAACTCAAGTATGGGGGCGATCACTGCATTAGTCATATATAAGCACATATTTACATTTGTATATATTTTTAAAACACTTAAAGGCTCAATGGCACGTAGACAGACGGTCAGCGGAAATGGATTTGCTAGATTTGTACAGGTGCTTACGTCTTATGGTTATCAGTAGTATGTAACTATGTTTTAGAAGCTTTTACTGTTCGATTAAAAAATTAAGCTTGTTATTTTTATTGGCTTGTTTGTGTTTATGCAACATTGTCACAGATAAGGGGAATATGTTTATTTAGGGAGTGCAAGCAAACATGAGGTGTGCCACAACTACCGATCTGTTGGGAAAGGGCGGAAATACATACCTTCGATTTCGATTAAAGATTTCCCGTAGGTTCTGAACAGAACTCAATCCATATCCAAATATTCGTGAATGAAATCACAGTGACTCAGTAATACCAGATGCTGTTCGAGCTGAATTTATGAATGGGAAATGGATTTGATACTCGATAAAATTAACTGTACCGAACACGTTTTCCATTGAAAAAATCTCGCACACTCGTTTATTAAACAACTAACAGATCCGCATATGTGTATAGTGGATAGACTATAGTCTAGCATTGTTTAACTTAGTATGACTCATCCAAGACATTTTCATTTAGCTTATTAAAACAGCAATCAGCAATGTAAACATATAAGTAAATTGCAAGTATAAACTCGTTTCCTCGCGGATTCTCACTTAATAAGAGTGTTGTGGGCATTTTTATGATTTATGCGAAATGGAGAATTAAAGTGTGTATGTTTCTTAAGTGGCAAAGTGGTGCTGGGTTAATAAAATATTTAAATAGCAAAAAGTAAAGGTTAAAGGTTACAGTTTTACGACAATAGTTCATGTTATACTTTTTTATATTTTGTAAAAATATTTAATAATATTTATATTCTAAATAAAGCCGGACAATTCAAATTAAATCTGTTGCTACACCCCGTGCGTTTCGCTACCCAATGTAGGTTTTATTTGTTTACAGGATGATTCGGTATTATTCTATTAGTCGATGTCCATGACCGGATTACGCATCTGCAGTTTAGTGAATTTGTTTGTTTAAAGGGAGCTGAATTAGTCACCTACAATAGTGCAAATATCAGTGAACCGAATCGAATTGAGAAGCGTCTGGGGTTTCTTATCGCCCTGGCGTTATCTTTTGTAATCTTTTGAGCAAAGTCGAGGGGTTCATATCGCTGTTTTCTTTCTATATTTTCTTATAGTATTTTTAAGAGACATTGGAATAGATAATTTTTATCGTCTATGCGATAAATAATTGTATTTCTTTGTTCTATCACAAATATTGTTAAACAACTAATGGCTAAGGATTCACTTACGTTTCCTGAATTTTCCCCAAGGTCTTTTCTTCGTCACGCGATTTCTGGCCAATGGCAGTATGTTTAGAATTAAAATCCAAGAAGTAACGTTAGGAGGAGCACCTGCCATGCGATTAGGTGAATCAGATTTCACGCTGGATAAAAAGTTGCCTGCAATTATCTTTCCCGTGTAAACACAGATTGTGGATCACGACAATCCCCGCTCTAATTACAGGTATTTTCCAACTGAATTGTCATAGCTGAGCCATGCTTCATGTCAGTTCCTAATAACAGTTTGGTGAAAGAAAAAGGTCTCTTTTGTCCGCGGTTGTAATGTGTATTATACTAATCTAGATGAATGTGAACCCAATGTTTAATTATTAAAGTGGATCTTCATTTCCTGAACGACATTTGTGGAATCAAATGAAATAAGTTTGGTCTGGGTACTTTTAATGACATCGATCCGTTTATGCAATTCGTTTTTGATGGGTCATTGGTAATTGTAAACCATGATCGGCCAACTCTTGGCCCAGTTCACACGTAGACTTGACACATTTTATGTCAGGTTCTCAATATTCATTACCTGTCGAATTGGTGGAAATATGAGAAAACACAGAGGTAGCCCCTGAATCTTAGTGTACAGTCGCCTTGGGGCACTGAAATGAGACTGAAGAAGGTGGCACCCAAGTCACTGAACGCTTTTTTTTTATCATACGTTGTGCAAATGAGATTAGCGACAGTCCCTCAGCTAGTGAATCATTAAAGAATCATACTGTGGTTTTGTAAAAAGGGGGCTTTTGCTGGCGGGATGCAATTGAAAGTGAAATTACAGCGAGCATGACCAACAAAGACCCACAATCTCTGCTGCTGTTCCAGTTGCAGCGGAAATGTTTTCGTTTTGATCTGCTCGTATCCATACTTATCACGCGCAACAAATTGCAAAAATAACACAGTATAATTAATGGGACTGAAGAGTGATGAACAAATAAATATGAATGTATAGTATGTGCAAAGTACTGATCATTTATCACATACAAATTTAACACCTCTTCAACAGATTGCTCTAAACAAACATAAAATCAATTTTAACAATTTCTGAAAATCGAAAAGAAAGCAGCCGCAATAAATCAGCCACAAATGGAATTATGAATAATGTGTAGAAATTGTTTGTTTGAGGTTTTTAGCTTAGTAACAAGATATATTTTAAAATGTAGAATAATATATAAAAAATAAACTAACTTTTTTTATATTTTGAAACTATTTTTTGAGATCCCTTAAAAAAAAACACATACTATACATTTTAGTTTGCTTTATTTTGTTGCTGCAACACGAAATATACTTGAGGTTCAGGTGGTTTCTTGCGACTTGTCCTGTGTTACTTTGTGGAATGCGCTGCTCTAATGTTTTCATGTTAAGTGTGCTTGAGATGTGGGAACGATCTGTTGGGGGTTTCGCCTTTATCCCTCCCCTTTTGATGGCATCTTATTGACTGACCTACAAAACCCTCCGGTGCACCTGACGCGAGCCCTCGGCCACTGCGTTCTTCATGGAGAAGACGAACGAGAAGGCGAATCCGACTAGGCTGAGGAGAAACAGCCACGGTGTCACCAGCACGACGACGAGGAAGAGCAAGGTGTCGTTGCCCTTGGCGTTGGCCAAGCGCCACAGCATGTGGCGCAGAGTGCTGCGCAGCTGGAACTTGGCGCGTCCCACTCGGAATCGAACGCCGCCGCAGATCCATCCGATGCGCTTCACCTGGCGGAAGGCCAGGCCCGCCACGAGGGTCAGCAGCTGCAGCAGCACCATGAAGTGCTTGGCGATGGCGGTCTGGCTGCAACGTTCCATCGTTTTCTCCACTTGCCGGCGTCGCTGATCCGGCAGAGTGTTCATCAGGCAGCCGAGGACACGGCGGCAGCAGGATTCCGGCGCGGTCGAACCCTTCAGCTGGCTGCAGAGATCGCTCTCGGAATCGGTGTCCGAGATGGCCGTTAGTTGCGGTGAGCGTGGAGAACCCGGATTTTGTGTTTTCTTGGGGTAACTCGATGCAGCGGCGGCGGTTTCCTTCACCGCAGAAAGGTCGCCCTCGTAGGCGCCATAGAAGCCGGGTATCGGGGGCACGCCCACCCGCGGGCCACGCCCCAATCCGCCGCTCAGCAGGCGTTGGGCCATCACAGGCAGCGGGGGCGGCGGCGGCAAGGAATCCAGGCCACCTCCCTCGTCCAACGAGCGCTGGCGACTGATGGAGCGCATCAGTGGGTTGGTGGGCGACTTGCCCAGGAATGGCATTTCGTTGAGGCCCTCGGGCAGGGTTCCGGGTCCAAATCCACCGCTGTCCCCGAACTGTGGCGCGTTGAAGTTGAAGCCACTGGCTCCGAATGCACCCGGCCCGCCATTGAAAGGCAAACGTTGCTTGTGCATCTTCTGCGGCTCTTAGATGTTTCAGATTATTTTACGGATGCTGTTTCCCAGTTACTGATTGAGCAGCTTTCAATTTCTTACTGTGTTGGAACTGATCTACGTTTTGATAAGACTGACTTTGCCTGAATTTGGCTTACTGGAAACGTAAAACTAATACACCCGACTAATGTGATTCATTCTCCCTTTGTTTTTGCAGTTGTTCCCTTTGGATTAATCGCAGCTTGATTCATCCCTCAGTGCGAACTGGCTGTGATTATCAGTTCAATGTGAGCCGCCAGTGCAGCTGAATTATTAAAACGAACACAATTTAGGATCTGCAAAACACTGCCATTATGTTGCGACTGATCCTCATGGCCTGCCTGGCCCAGTTGGCCTTGGCGCAGGCGGAGCTTAAGGACTTGGATGGACCCAATGTCTGTAAAAGGAGAGAAAAGTAAGCTTCCCCTTAGAGGTTACTAAGTAATGACTAACAAGTACCCCTTGGCATTAGCTATCCCGTGGAAGTTGTCTTCACGGAACTGCAATCGTACCAAGTACGCGGATCCAGGTGGTGCATGACCGTCCCGCCACGTTGCTCCACTTACCACCTCAAGGAGCGAGTGGTCAACAAGACGCAGACGATCATGAAAACCCGGATTGTAAGGGATTGTTGTGGTGAGTTCGGCTAGATAGTAAACCTTCTCTGGAAATAAAATCCATTTCGCTTGCTCCTTAGATGGCTACATCGAGAGCGGAGGAGTGTGTGTGCCGCACTGCTCGGAACCCTGTCAGCACGGAAGATGCGTTTCCCCGGAGAAGTGCAAGTGCGACCATGGCTACGGAGGACCGGCCTGTGATATAAGTTCGTACATTGCCTAAATGCCGTCTGTGTTTGTCATAGAATAAGTAATAATGAACCGCCTTGGGTGTTCCTGGGGCTGTAGCTCGTCCTCCAGTCCACTACTTTGTAGTTTCGAAAATACGAAGGGCACTGATTGCTCGGACTGTTGGCGATTAGCTAAGCCCCTGGCGATAAGACCTCGCTTGATCTTCTGAGAAGTTCTAAATGCCCTTGCAATGCTAAGATAAGGATTTTGACTTTTTTGTTATTTCCCTGAAGAATTTTTAGTTTTTTTTTTTTTTTTGATATGTATAGAAGCAATACTCATTGACAGGAAATAATAGCGGAATCATACAATTTTTTAAGAAATTTTGTGTGAGACATTTTTATTTTTCATTGAACTTATCTTATTAATGATGAGTCTACTATTATATTATGACGCATTAAAAAATCTTAAAGGATATCTCATATCAAATGACATAGTAAGTCAAACAAAAACTATCCAAACAAAACTAACCAAAAAAAATATAAATATAAAAAAAAAAAAAAAAAAAAAGAAAAAAACACCACTCAACCAGCTAGAATTAGGAATAGAAAATGGATGATGAGGAGGACTTTGATTACCTTCCGCCGGCGAATACAAACAGATTGGACATTCCCAATGACCCTGCATTGCTGGCCGTCTACGAGGTTTACAAATCCCCATTGGAGGCCAATCGCTTTATTTTCTCCGAGCGTAACCGCAGCACCTTCGCGGAGGCCTTGAATGGCCCCAGTGTGCCCACTTTGGCGGAACTGTGTGTCCGGCAGCTGGCGAAGCGTGGACCCGCTTACGTGCCCGCTTCCGTGCGCGATGATCCGCTCAAGATGCGCATCTACTACGACTCACTGGACGTGGAGTTGCCCCTGCGGGAGTGCTACTTTGTGGAGGATGCGAGCTTCTGGAGGAGGGTGGTCCTGGCCAAGACTAGGGACACTTGCCTTTGCATGAAGAGCTTGCAGGATTACGATTGGCGCGGCAAGGGCCTAAGCCTCAAGTACGTGGAACTGGTGGAAGCCTGTCCGGCCTCTTTGTGGCCGGAGCGGGAAATGTCCGAGCTGGCGGAGCTGATCAAGGATCATGTACGGACCATGGAAATACGGCACCTGCAGTCGCTGACGGAGTACGCCTTCCGGCGGAGGATAAACGACGACGACGACACGGAGCCGGATATCACCTCCGAGGAGTCCGGCGCCATAGAAGTCTCGAGCGATGAACCGATGACTTCGGAAGAGGGCGGCGAGGAGGAGGAAGCAGAGGCAGAGGAAACAGAGTCCAACCATTCAGGGACAAAAAAGGTCATTGGCTTCAATACAAACACCAATTTTGTAATAAACTTCGACGACGACGACGAGGACGATGTCGCCACAAATGATCGACGAAAGCGTCGGATGGATCGAAACGCCGCCCGCCAGAAACTGCGGGAAATGAACGCCATCAAGCAGGCGGAGCACGAGGAGCGAGTGAGGAGACGCGCCGAGAACCGAATGCCCAAGGAGCCGGAGCCGCCCTCGAAGAGAAGGAAAAAAAAGCAGCCCATTGAAGGCGTCTTCGACATCCGCGTGGATCCGGAACCGGAAGACGGCGAGGACAAGGTGATGGACAAACGCAACAAGCAGAAGTACTTGCAGCACCTCCAACGTTTGGAATATCCGGAGGATGAGTGTCATCACATTGATCTGAGCTTTCTGCGGCACTTTGTCAACCTGGTCTCGCTGCACCTGGAGTTCCTGGGTCCCGAGGTGGGCAGGGATTACCACAAGCGACACGCGCTCTTCTCGCTCAAGGACATTGTCCACCTGTCCCGCGGCTTGGCGGCCCTGGAGCAGCTGAAGATCTTCCGGCTGCGCAACAGTCGGCTGAACAACATCAAGGTCTATCCGCTCTGCCGGGCTCTCCACTCGCTGCCTCTTCTGGAGGTGGTGGACCTTGGCTTCAACCAGATGACCGACGACTGCGGCAAGGAGCTGGGCTTCCTGCTGGAGCGACCGCGCATGCTGAAGGCCCTCGAGCTGGAGTACAATTGCCTGGAGACGCGCACCATGGCGGCCATCGCGGAGGCGCTGCAGCAGCCGAGCGACTCCTGGCTGGAGTACCTGGGCCTGGCCCACAACAGGATGGGCGGCGATTCCCTGAGCATTCTGTGCAACGGCATCAAGGGCACGGGTCACGTGGAGGAAATCAATTTGTCGGGAATCGAGGCCAATCCGCATACCTTTGTGCAAGAGATCGGAGAACTGGTGCGTCACCACGATCCACTGCGGCGTTTGAAAATGGTGGCCATTCCGTTGAGTTCCAAGTTGGGCAATAAGCTGATATGCGCCCTGAACGCCAACATGAATATCACCGAATTCGACTGCCGCGAATGCGATTTGGACGAGGACCAGGAGTTGGATGCGGATCTGGCGATCAGGCGCAACGTCTTCATGCAGGAGAGCACCTTTATGAGGGACACCGCACGCTTTCCCAGCACAAGCGATCTGCTGGAGTTCAGCAAGACGGTAAGGCATCCCATGGTGCAGAAGATCGAGGAGGACATGGCCAGGAAGAAGGAGTGCTTGGAGAACTATCCGCCTCCAACGCCAAGTGCCATCAGCACCAAAACGGTATCTCTGGTGGTGCAGGAGTCGGAGTACGACATTTGGCGGGTGCTCGGCATCACCCAGAATAAGCCGACCAAAGAGAGTAGTCCGCCGGTGGAGCCTGAAAAGAAGGAGAGTGTCGTCTCGTTCCAGGTCCCGGAACCATTTAACTACGATCCCAACAGCTTTGATCTGGATCAGTTCCGGGAGCACGTCTCTCAGCTGGGACCAAGCAACCGGCACTCCTACTTCCTGAAACAGAGGCAGTCGTTCATATAGATTGGAGCCTTCTCAACCTAAATCATAAATTATTTAGAAACTGTGACCAAATCGAGAAGTACAGAAATAGGAAAAATAAAATAAATATCCTATATATCAATAAATAAGTCAAAAGAAATATAATTTATAATATTTAGGGGAAATACTCTATGAACAAGAAAGATGATATATAATTTATAATATTAGATTTAGATATAATTTATATTATTTAAAACTCTTAATCCTGAAAAGCCTTTGCAAGGGCATTCTATCTTTGGACCACCAAAGATCTGCACGTAGTATCATCCTAGTTGTGTTCTGTCCTCTCCCTAAATGTTGCTTTGTAGCTTGAGTTGGTTTGCCCTTTTGAGTTGCCATCTTGCCCCAGATCTAATCCCGACCTGACCACCTAATCCACACGCCCACACTCTCACACACCCACGCAGTTTACTCCAGCTCAATTGTCCAGGTGCAAGCAGGCTTACCACCAAATTAGCCACTAAATTCACTCAGCAATACGGCAAGATTCCTCTGGCTTAGAATCGCAAAAGAGCAAGAAAGCAGCTGCTACTACTAACTGTCGAACCCGTAATCCTGTGACCCGTAATCCGCCGCTAACCCAGTTTGTGTGACTCTCCGGTAGATTGCCCGCCCGGCTGGTACGGCCGCCACTGCTCGATGCAGTGCGACTGCCTCAACAACGCGGTCTGCGAACCCTTCTCCGGCGAGTGCGAGTGCGCCAAGGGCTACGCCGGCGCCCGCTGTGCGGAGGTCTGTCCGAAGGGCTTCTTCGGGGCCAGCTGCTCGGAGAAGTGCCGCTGCGAGAACGGCGGAGAGTGCCACCACGTGTCCGGCGAGTGCCAGTGTGCGCCCGGTTTTACGGGTCCTCTGTAAGTGGACGGAATGCGAGGAGGCGCCTTTAGGAGTTGGGCTGAAGTTAAGCGTAGGATGCAACCTGAAACTGTTGAAGGTTTTTGGCCACTGCATCCTACGCTTAACTTTGACCCCACAGAACCCCTCTAACTTAACTCTAACGCCCCAACTAGATGCGACATGCGCTGTCCGGACGGCAAGCACGGCGCCCAGTGCCAGCAGGACTGCCCGTGCCAGAACGACGGCAAGTGCCAGCCGGAGAGCGGCGCCTGCATGTGCAACCCCGGCTGGACGGGCAACGTGTGCGCCAACAAGTGCCCGGTCGGGAGCTTCGGAGCCGGCTGCCAGGAGAGCTGCGAGTGCTACAAGGGAGCGCCCTGCCACCACATCACCGGCAAGTGCGAGTGCCCGCCGGGCTACCTGGGCGAGCGCTGCTTCGACGAGTGCCCGCTGAACACCTACGGACTGAACTGCAGCAAGACCTGCAACTGCGAGAACGACGCCACCTGTGACCGGGCGAACGGAACCTGCATCTGCAATCCCGGCTGGCAGGGCGAGAGGTGCGAGGAGCGGATCTGCGCGCCGGACAAGTTCGGGCTGGACTGCAACAGCACCTGCGAGTGCGACATGGAGCACACGAAACTGTGCCACCCGGAGACGGGCAAGTGCCAGTGCAGCATCGGCTGGAGCAGCGCCCAGTGCACCAGGCCCTGCACCTACCTGCGCTACGGCCTCAACTGCGAGCAGACCTGCAACTGCAAGAACGGCGCCAAGTGCTCGCCGGTGGACGGGACGTGCCAGTGCGCGCCCGGCTGGCGGGGAGCCACCTGCGAGGAGAGCTGTGCCCCCGGCACCTTCGGCCAGGACTGCGCCCTGCGCTGCGACTGCCAGAACGGAGCCAGATGCGAGCCGGAGACGGGCCAGTGCCTGTGCACGGCCGGCTGGAAGAACATCAAGTGCGACCGGCCCTGCGACATCAACCACTTCGGGCAGGACTGCGCCAAGGTGTGCGACTGTCAGAACAACGCCGCCTGCAATCCGCAGAACGGCACCTGCACCTGCTCCGCCGGCTGGACGGGCGAGCGCTGCGACCGGAAGTGCGAAATGGGCAGGTTCGGGCACGAGTGCGCCCAGAAGTGCCAGTGCGACTTCAACAACATCCTGGCCTGCGATCCCACCAACGGACGATGCGTGTGCAAACAGGACTGGGGAGGTACTGCCAGGATTCCCATATGCCCCTCATTCAGCTCATCACACCTAGATCTTAGTTCATTGCGATCATCGTGGGTGCCTGCGAGATTTTAACTGCGGGAACAGATCTTAAAGTCCAACTTTTAAATCATAACTTTATAAAATTTAAACCCGGGAATATAAGTTTAAATTATGTGGTTCAAAATTTTAAAACTTTTTAGATGAAAATTTACATTGCATGTTTTACTAGAGAATCTTGAATAATTACTTGCGTAGTTTTTATCTTAAAAAGCTTTCTTAGATTTATTTTTTTTTCTAGTAGAATTCTCTTTAAAGAATATTGTCATTAAATTTTAGGACCAACTCAAATCATTAACCATCCGCACGCATCCCATTACTTTCAACCTCATTTGCATCCCTTTCGCATTTTCGCATGGTTCCGTTTCATTTCTTTAATTTAATTCGCTTTTCTGGTTTTGCACCTTTGTGTTTATGGTATCTGTTGTCCTTGTCCGATGACCATCGATCGAACAACCCAAGGCGTTCATTGCGAGACCAACTGTCGGAGCGGTTACTATGGTGAAAATTGTGATAAAGTTTGCAGATGCCTGAACAACTCGTCCTGCGATCCGGACTCCGGGAACTGCATCTGCTCGCCCGGCTGGACGGGAGTGGATTGTGCGGAGCCCTGTCCTCCGGGATTCTATGGCATGGAGTGCAAGGAGCGCTGCCCGGAGATCCTGCATGGTGAGATTTTACCAGGGATGTATGAGTGAGAAACAGTAACATTTTGGCCTTCCACAGGAAACAAAAGCTGCGACCACATAACTGGCGAGATCCTCTGCCGCACTGGTTACCTGGGACTCACCTGCGAGCACCCGTGTCCAGCGGGACTCTACGGACCCGGCTGTAAGCTCAAGTGCAACTGCGAGCACGGCGGCGAGTGCAACCACGTGAGCGGCCAGTGCCAGTGCCTGCCGGGATGGACGGGCGCCAATTGCAACGAGTCCTGCCCCACGGACACCTATGGCCAGGGATGCGCCCAGCGGTGCCGCTGTCTGCACCACAAGGTGTGCCGCAAGAACGACGGCATGTGCATCTGCGAGACGGGCTGGACGGGCACCCGGTGCGACGAGGTCTGTCCGGAGGGCTTCTACGGCGAGCACTGCATGAACGCCTGCGCCTGTCCCTCGGCCAACTTCCAGTGCCACGCGGCCCACGGTTGCGTGTGCAGGAGTGGCTACACAGGCGTCAACTGCGACGAGCTCATCGCCTCACAGCGAGTGGCGGACCAAAGCGAAGATTGTGGGTTAATAGATTAGGTTATCTGATTATCATTTTATTAATCATTGATTACTCCTTCACCTTTAGCGAGTCGCGCCAGCGTGGCATTGGCTCTGGTGCTGATGGTCCTGTTCGCCTGCATCATCTTTGCGGTGTTCTTCTACTACCGTCGTCGCGTGTCCAACCTGAAAACGGAGATTGCCCATGTGCACTACACCCACGATACGAACACCAATGGCTGGCCGCCAGGTAACCACAACTTCGACAATCCCGTCTACGGAATGCCCGACACGCGCCTCCTGCCCAACAATATGCCCAACAATAAGCCCAACAATATGCGCTCCAAGATGAACAACTTCGATCAGAGGAGCACTTTGAGCACGGAGTACGCAGGCGATGACTCCAATGCCAGTGGCAGGGGTGAGTTGTATAATAAACATCCAAAGGAAGAGTCTATTACAACATCTTTTTCCTTCAGTAGGCAGCTACACGATCAACTACAACCACGACTTGCTAACGAAGAACTTGAATGCGGATCTCACCAACCCTAATGTGTACAATGACTCCTTGAAGGAGGAGCATGTCTACGATGAGATCAAACACAAGGAGGGCTACAAGGATCCTGGTATGTAATAAGACTCTAAAACACTCAAGCTTAGTAACTTCGCAACTAACTGTATACTCCGCATTTGCACACATTTCGGCATAAATCAGTGAAAATATATAGCAAGATTTTGTTTCCCGAGGGTAAGCAAGTGATGAAGATCCATTCTGTGTAGTGCTCTGTTCGTTTTCACTCATGTCCAGTGTTTAGAGTGTTCGCTTAAAGCCTTGCCCACTAACGTTGTGAATCTTTTACCCCAGATGAATACGATCACCTCGACTACTCGCGTCCCAGCACCTCGCAGAAGCCCCACTACCACCGCATGAACGACACCATGCTCAACATCAACCAGAACGAGGAGAAGCCCAGCAACCTGAAGAACATGACCGTGCTGCTGGACAAGCCCGCACCACCAACGGAGCCGGAACCGCAGCACGAGAGCCTGGACAACACCAATCTGGACAATGTGTCGACGGCGTCGCCCAGCTCCAGTCCGGAGTTCCGCAAGTAGGCAGCCGAAATAGTCACCGAGACCGCTGTTTACAATCTAAGTGGTCATAATTATTAGTTTTAACGTATTAGTTTAATTACTGTCCTAGAAGATTAGTTGTGTACGTAACTCAGTGTAGCATTTCTCTTGTATTCGATTTGTAATTGTGTTTATGTGTTTTTGTATCTGCTCAACCAATTGTAAATTATTCTTTAGGGGCCCTTTACAACCCGGCGATGGTCTCCACTTTTGTAAATTCCTACTTCACTTGCTCTAAATTTTACTAATTTGATCATTTGATCTTTCATCAACGCAACTAACACCCTAAGTGGAACATGTTAAATTAAGTACCTATACACCTCTTCCTGTTGAAATTGTGGAGTGACTCAAAGAGAAACTCGTGCGGATCGAAGGTTGCAATAATTTTAAATCGAACCCATGCATATACGGATTGATATCAGTAGCATAAGCATATGGTATTTATATTTTTAATAAGCAACTTATTTTTAGAGTGCATAAACAATACAATAAAAGAGATCATAAACAGCATCGATAACCTATTTTGAATACTAAGAAATGTTCGTCAAGTAATTGTTAACAAAATTGTACGCTGATGTCCTTTAAGAAGGAAACGATTGGCCAAAGGAGTATTAAACTCTAATAGATTTTAAATAAAATTTATAAAAGTAGCTAAAATATTGGAATATTACGATTGTGTCAACCCATTTGTAACTTTTAACCTGTAGCCTAAAAAGCGTTTAAACCGAAATACCATGATTTGTTATGTATTTTATTCATATACACGTATTCGATTTTTTTGAAAAACGCGGATAATAAAAATAAACTACCAAACAATAAAAAATCATTGACTTTCATATATTTATTTAAATGTTTATGTTATTTAGTAGAAGCATCAAGTACAATAATTCTTTTATAAATAGTTTCCGTCTGCGCTTTCCTCTTTGATTTTCGTTAAGCAAGTTTTCTATTACATAGACTACTCGTAATGCTAGGCTAGATAAATACAAGATCCTTGGAAGGATCCACACGCACACACATACACATACACTGATACAAGTATTCAATAACAGACACCGATTGGAGTACAGTTTACAACTAGAAGCGTACTAGGGATCGCGAATGAAATGTCTGGCTTATAAGGTGTTTAATGTGGATATAGTGCTAGGTGAACTATATATATAGCTTGACTTGTTTATAGGGTGGGTTAGGGGAGGAAATGGGATGTTTTGGGGAACGGAATAGTAGAGGTGGAAAGCAAACTTTGGATGATTTAAATAAACATCTTGAAATTCCTTTACTTTCATTTCTTGATCATCATTAAAACTTTAGAAAGTTATAAAAAATATAATATGTATGTATATATATTATAATAGCATCATAAGAATTTTAAACACAACAAAAATATGAGGGAACGGGAAATTTCTGAACTAAGATTAAACTAAGCTCTTTAAACGCTTCCAAAGATTACATTCAGCCTCTAAAATCCATATAGAAGGATAATTCCACCCAAAGCAACCCATTCCAGGCGGCAAAGGCCATCTACAGATAGCCATGGCCGGCCACCTCGGCCGGAATGAAGCCCTCGCGTCCGTCCCGCGTCCGCACGTAGAACCACTGGCGCTGATCCTTGGACTCGCGGCACTCGCAGAGGGTCACGATCTCGCCCTTGTGCACCGCGATGCTCTCCGTGATGTAGTCCGTGTTGATGGCGACTAGAGTTTGCCGCTGGCCCACCTCCTGCTGGCGGCGCAGAGCCTTCAAAGTGGTGGCCTCCACCTCCGCCTTCCCCTGATTCCCCTGATGATTCTTCTGCTCGTAGGGCGGCAGGTGTGCCAGCTTTGGATGCAGATGCTGTCCATTCTGTCCGTTGGTGATGTACGACACGTTGGACAGCCGTCGCGCCGCTGGCTGGGATTGGTGGAGATGGTTCTGGGCAGCAGCGGCGGGCTGCTTCTGCTTGGACTTCTGCTGCAGGGTCACGTACTCGTCCTGGGAGGCGCCACTCTTGGCCGAGGCGGAGCCGGAGGCGGCCACCTGGCGGGTGGAGCGCAGCTGGGCGTACGCCTTCTCCACGAGGCGCGGCTTGGAGGCGGCCCGCAGGTAGAGCTTGTCCACCTGGTGCTCCCCGTACAGGGAGCTCGTAGTGCTGCCCCCGCCCTTCGTTGGGTTGTTGTTGTTGCTGTTGCTGTGGTTGTTGTTGTTGATGTTGATGGTGGTGCTGCTGTTCTTGAGGGCCTCCTCCGTGGGCTTGGTGCTTCGCGGGGTGCGGGCGCCATCGGAACGGGTTCCTCCCCGCAGCCGGATCTCCTTCTCCGAATCCGTCATGTTGCCGCAGGGGCGAGGAAACACATCGGCATTCGATTCCCAGCAGGGGGTGTTCCTCGACCCGATCCTCGCCTGCTGCGGCAGGATCCCCAGAGGCAGGCAGCAGGCGTAGCCCACGTAGCCCTCCTCCGCATGGGGTGTCTGCACATACAGCCAGTTCTGGTTCTTGAACACCGCATTCACCACCATGCCCAGCGGCAGGGGGATCTCCAGCTGGTAGCCACCGGGTCGCGTCTGGTAGAGGGTGCTCGCCGTGGCCAGGACCACGGGAATGTTGCCCGGCGTGGCCAGCGAGCAGCGGGAGAGGAACTCGTCCACGTTCTGGATCTCATAGCCGAACCTCTGCACCCGGTTCCGGTCCCTCCGCTTGCGGTGCCTGTGGCGTCTCTGCTGCTGGGGGGCAGCGGCTCCTCCTCCTCCCGAGCCAGTGACTCCGCCTCCCTCCGAGGCTGCCACCAAGCTGGGCTCCGAGTAGGAGGTGCACTTCAGCGACTCGGCTCCCGTGACCGATCCCCTCGCTTCGCCCGCCTGCGATCCGCTGGATCTGGCCTGCTGCAGCCGGTTGGCCAGCTTCTTGCGGATCTCGTTCCGCTTCCTGGCGAGGAGCAGCGCCTCGCTGTGGCCATCGCTCCGCGGCGCCCTCTGGGGCGTGCACACGAAGAGCAGCTCTTTGGTGGAGGCGGCGGCCACCGGAGCTCCGGTCGGTCCGCTCCGCGACACGTCCAGCAGGTTCTGGTTGCTGAAGAACTTCTGGTTGGCCAGGTGCCCGTTACCCGGTGCCTGGTGGGCGGTGGGCGTGGTGGCGTAGCCATTGAGCGGCTCTCCGCCACTCGGCAGCTGCTTGACTCGATAGCGCTTCTTGGTGACGTCCAGCTGGGTGGGCACCGGATCGCTTCTGGCCGGGAATGCCTCGTTCTCCTTGCGATCCACCTGGCCATCGGACTCCCTTGCCGAGGGAGGTGGTTCCTTCTGCGGGGAAGGAGGAGTCTGCGATTGCGATTGCGGAGCCGTTTGCTGCGTTTGCTGCTGCTGCTCTCGGAGCACCCAGGTCAATGAGATGCGCGGCCGTCGGAGGCTCAGGTTCTGACCCATCGCCAGCTGCGGAGTGCTCTTCGCTCGTCCGCCGGCCACTAGAGGCAGCAGCTCGTCGATCTCCACATAGTCCGAGCTGTACTCGAAGCTCTCCTGATCCTGATCCTGGTGATCCTGGTTATTGGCTGCTCTCGAGGAAGGCGGGGGCGTGGCCGTGAAGTTGCCCACGGAACTGTCACTGCTGCCGGGTTGCTGCAGAATCAGGGAGCAGGCGTTCAACAGATCCGGACAATAGGCATCTGCAAGAGGAGATTGGATATTAAAAAGGATAGTAGATAGTAGATATAATATAATGTAATAATAGAGATAATTACTCACCCCTCAATCCCCTCCTGCGTCGACGCTGTCGTCTGGTGGCACTGCCTCCGCTTCCCAACTCCGAACAACTGGACTCGGAGCTACTGGAGCTATCTGTGCTGGAGGCAAATTGCAGCTGCTGCTGCTGCTGCTGCAGTTCCCGGAGTCGCCTCCTCCGTCTCGCCTGCTGACGAGCTGCTAGTTCGCTGGCCGATGCAGTGGCTCCAGATGGGGGTACTACCAACACCACCGCCGGTGTGGCTGGATGCAGTGCTTCTGCGGGATGCGACCTGTGCTGCAGTCCTAATCTTGGTCTTGGTCTCTCCGAGTAACTGGGTGGCGGGGTCAAGGGGAGCGGACAGTAGTTGGGCGGCGGGGAAAGGGGCACCCTCAGGGCGGATTCCTCGAGCACGTAGTCGTTCTCCTGGGCCTGCAGCTCTAAGGACCCAGCATCTGCGTAGCCCAGTTGGAGATCCTCGGGTGAAGGATCGGCAGTGGAGGAGGCATCGCCGTTGCTCTGGCGATAGGTTGGCAAAGCTGTGACAGCTGTGGATAAAAGAGAACAATTTAATTTTGATTATAATATAAGTGGTGGTTTATACTTTGCAATACTTCATAATATGTATAGGATATGGGTTATACAAAGGCTTGGCACTGTTAATAAAAGTTGCCTTTGTTCAAAATTATTCTTTGAATATTGTACTTTAACAACTTCAACTTTAATACAAAATAAACTTAAACATATGGCCTCTTAAAACCTTTTTAATTAAACATCCACAAAGCATTCATTACCCATCAATTCAACCCCCTTAAAGGGATGATTGCAATTGCTCAAGATTGATCCGCCCCCAAAGAGACATGAATAGCGAACCCCTTTCCTCACTACCAAGCAAACCTGGTCAAACTTCTCATGACAATAAAAATTCCAATTATAGTTAAGAGTCCTCCGATTCAGAAACAATGACGAAGTCTGGACCGAGGGTCCATCTCCTGGATGTGGGGCTTTCCAAGAGAGGGAGGGAGATCTCCCCACTCCATCGGGTGGTCGTAAAGACCATTGAGAAGCGATAACGACACCTGAAGCTCCGGTCGGGAAGAAGACAACTCCCACACGGGGAGCAGGGAAGACTCGTATTTAAAATATTCGCCAATATAAATGTCAGGAGTCGGAAGAATGGAGAATCGAGGGAGGAGAACGGAGACAGAGAAGCGCAGAATCGGAAGAGTGGAGAATGGAGAATGGTTTGTGGCCGTCTTCATATGCGGCTCTTGGCTATCAAGGCCAAGATCAGTGAGCTGAGCTCCAAGTGGCCAAGGCGAAGGTGAGGATGAAGCTCCAAGGAGAGAGGAGCTACGCAGCCGAGAAGCGTGGCCAATAAAATTCCAAACTGATATGCTCAATGGCAACAACGTGCCACAAGTGAGTAGTAAAATGTTGAAACGTGACGGTATTTCAAAATACCAAATATTGGATTGAGCCCTCCTTTCCGTCTCCCTCCTTCGGATTAGCACATTTGCACAGTGTTCAATGAAAGCAGAAAATCAAGTTCGAATCACTCTGCTACACTCTTATGAACCTGAAGTTATGGCCAGAGAAATTGCCATTGCCATTGCATGCTGACAAATTGTGACAAATTTATACATGGCCATTTGGAATGCAATTGGTTTTTATGGCTGGAAAACAAGATTAAAGTTGGAATGCATGTTGAATATTTTTTAATTGATCGAACACTTCAATTGCTATAAATACTCATATGATTATTACTGAAATCATCTTTAGTTTTATAGAAAATTATTGACATCATAAGACGACTGAAAGTGTTTGCATATGTCTCCAAAATCAGATATTATTATTTTATTAAAATAAGCAATACAAACGCCTCATTGAATGTGGTGTACACCCAACCTGCTGGTAAGGGTGCTCCAGATCATAACTAAGCTCTGATGAAGCGCGGAAAGGACAAGGCCCAGAGCCCTGAGCCAAGAGCCAAGATCCGAAAGCCGGCCAAATCTGCGGGCCCAGCGGCATCGGCAGCGATGCGACTTTAACGACCTCTGCGAGGCGTTTCGGAGTGGGGGATCCATCCGGGTTGGAGGCTCCGAAATCTGGGATCAGAGGGATGTGGGAGTGGGAGTGGACGGGTCTGTCAGTCAGTCGCCGGTTGGCGGTTGGCGGTTGGCGGTTCCGTTGCCCCGGCCCTAATCAAAAAGGTTCAAGCGCAGAGATCGTGCGAGGATTACATGGGGGTGTGACGACAGGCCAGCTCAAAGTCATTCACTCGGCTCCGACTCCCAGCTTTCAGCTTCAGCTATAGCTTTAGCTTCAGCTGCAGTTGAAGCTCAAACTCCAGCTCAAAAGCCAGCTCCAACCACAGCCTCAACTCGATCGTGATGCTGCGGCCTTTAATGGCCTCTACGTGAGACGTGATCTCCACCTGACACACTCAGAAAAAACAACAAATCTTATGGTATGTTGCACAATCAGATAAAATTTAAAATTGATAAAGATATAGGAAATCAGGGAGTTAATCAGAAGTAGTGTGCTTAGGATGTATTGAACTGACTTTTGTATGAAACTATAAAAGATACATAGATTTGTAAAAAAAAAAAATTGGGGTTTCCCCTTCTATAAATCATTTATTATATTGCCAAAATTGGACAGCTATAATTCTTCGCTGTGCACACGGATCGAAAGGGGGCGGGGCAGGGCCGTATTGAGGGCGTGGCCGATCACGGGCCATCGCAGGGGGACTAAAATCGAAAGTGTTGCTCCGGGTCGGAGCTCCGCGGCGGCCCTCTAATTAAACGCAGACGGCTGCCAAATTAGCTAATGACAACATTGCTCCGGAACCAGCAACATTGCCTGGCAACAACAACAGCAATTGGAATTGCAATTGCAACTGCATCGGCAACTGCTGCAACATCGACAACGACGCATTGCATTGCACAAATCACATGGCCAAAGCTGCCAAAGCTGCACGCCTGCCCAAAAATGGTCGGCACTCTGACAAATTTGTTTTGCAACTTGTTGGCCCGCCTGTTGCAAATATGGTCGCCGCTCCAACGGGCCGACATGAACATGGCCACTGGGGCATTGTGGTCGTTGTTTGCAACGTGGTCAACGGACCGGGTTCCACCTGGTTCCACCTTCCCGGGACGAGACAAAGCCACCGCTGGCCCAGCTGTCGGTCTCTGGAGCGGATTCGGACCCTGGATGGAGCCCAGACTCCCGTCTCTCTGGCAATTGGCCGCCAGTCTGGCCCACTCCGGTGACTCTGGTGATAATAATTCAATCGAGAAATGTCGAAGCGTGCAAATCGGCCGACTGATTTGTGTCTGGCCCGCCGGCTTAAAAGGCGCTTGGAATTGATTGGTGTTGCATGTGATTAACTGCCGCGCTCGGGAGATGACGTAGGCAATTACTGCTGGTGTTCAGGAGCCAACAAAAAAAAAGAGTTGAAAGCGGAGTGTGTAAACCAAATGAGGCATACAAGTTGCAGCCAAAAATTGGAGGTATAAAAATAATTTAAATCATTTTAGTAGCGTAAAGAACATGAGAATATCTCTTGAGGTTGAATAACATTTAATTTGCAGATCCAGAAAATGTTTAATCAACTCGAAGTAATTCTACATGCCCCCCCATGAAAACTATTTTGAGTGTGGGAAACAATCAAACAATGCAGAAACAGGTCGGGATAATCCCCAATAAACCGTAAAGAACTCTAGAAATTTTTCAATCAAGCCTAATCTCCTCCTTTAAACTCTGAACCTCTGGCTACCGCCTCTAGATGCCAACCAAGATGCCCCAAGATGCTGCACAATCGATAACTGTTGTGGTCGGCGTTTCGCGCACGTCCCTCGCATATGTCTTAAAATGGCAGCCGCAGATAAGACGCACTAATAAGATAAAAACATTTTAATTGCCACTAAACATGGCAGCGCCTCAGGCGGACCGCTCTCTCCCCGATCTTGGATCTAAATCCCCGCCAGATCCGATGGCTTTTTCAGTTTTTGCTGCCTCAGCCAGACAACTGTAAAGCGGCCAATGCCAATATATACGTGCTGACCGGCAAAAACATTGTCGCCGCTAATGGGCCAACAAAACGCCAGGCAGACGTATAAATAAAACTCCGATTTCGCTGGGATTTAATTAAAATCGAGCTTCGATCCGCTTCCAGGTTTTGGCCTTTGGCCGAGGTGCCAAGACAAATTAAAACGCTTCCGGAGGAATCGTCAAAGCTTTAACGACCCGCCCAGGGTCTTAGGCTCCGTCCACGTCAAAATCCCGGTCCCAAGTCATCAAAATGACCACCAACCTGGCCCCAATGAACCGAATGTCCAACTGCTCCACGGAGACCATAAAATCCACAGTAATAAACTCGCCTGATTGTCAGATTGTCAATGGGTGCCAGCCAGTGTTGGTATTTCAGCGGGATTCTTGGCAAGTTTTATGGGAGTTTGATAAAAGGGATTACCTATTATAAAGCTTTATTACAAAAAAATAGGTCACTTATATTGCTATGCCAAATATATAAGTAAGTAAAGATAGGTTTGAAAATACTAAAATATTTTATTATTTTTGTAACGAGCTATATTTTTGATATAAATTATATTACGATAAATATCTTTAGGTATTTAAAAGTCGCTTTCCTTACTTACATATTCTAACTAAATTCAAAAGATAATTTGCTCTTTTTGATAGTCAGTTTTGAGAGGCTTTGTCATTTTAATAGACAACACTGCTGTTATTGGCCAGACAACCCCAGGTGATGGCAAATCCTTGTTGACAGGCCATGGATTCTTGGATACTCGGATAGGTGGTGGCCGGCCAGGTGCCAACACGCCACAACACAACCACTGCACAGTCATCAACTGGCTTATTTATGCAGAAAATAATTTACACAAATTTCATTTTTTAGCTTTTCAATTAGCCGGGGATCATGTGACTGCAGGGCGATGACTGTCGATGCTATTTGAGCCCAGTTTAATGCTGTTTTAATGGGCTCTTGGCTTTTGGGTGGCCGAGGCAGGGCCGAGATTTGAATAGGTGCGATTCCCAAACGCGATCAAAAGTGAATTAAAATCTTTTATCGACTCGTCTGGGGAGCTAAGGAGCAGCCCTTTAGGTAAACAGGAATGGAGTGGCCGAGGAGTTGGAGTTGGGGGATGCGGTTGTCGGCCAGGGCAATAAAATTAAACGTTTGTTAGCTCTGGGTTTTTGGTTTTCGGTGTTCGTGCGTGTTTTAAGCGGTTTTAAATATTTATGAGCCCATTTGTAGCAACGCTGGCTCAGGCCGCAAAAATATCATTTTATGGCCTTAATAAATTTAAATGTTGTGGCCGGGCCGTTGAACACGAATCGTTTCTGGAGGTGTGGAAACGAAAGTGTGCTATTTCAGGTGAAAGGAATCTAAGGTTGACTAGCCGAAGGCGACACGGAACGATGATTTTACTTATTGGTTTCGATTCAAAATTACAGCTGAAATTATGCAGAGTTAATAATGCCTATTTAAATCATCCTATTAATTATTATTTCAAAACATTTC